GGAAAGTGGATGGAGTCATGAAGGGAAAGTGGATGGAGTCATGAAGAGAAAGTGGATGGAGTCATTGAAGAGAAAGTGGATGGAGTCATTGAAGGGAAAGTGGATGGAGTCATTGAAGGGAAACTGGATGTAGTCATTGAAGGGAAAGTGGATGGAGTCATTGAAGGGAAAGTGGATGGAGTCATTGAAGAGAAAGTGGATGGAGTCATGAAGAGAAAGTGGACCGAGTCATGAAGAGAATATGGATGGAGTCATGAAAGGAAAATGGATGGAGTCATGAAGAAAAAGTGGATAGAATCCACTTTGAGAAAGTGGGTAGAATCATAAAGGGAAAGTTGATGGAATCCTGAAAAAAAGTTGATGGAATCAAGAAGAGAAAGTGGATGGAATCAGTCAAAGGTTTACTGAACAAACAAACTGTTTGTGATTTTACTAGGCAATTTTGTTGTTCAGTAGCTTGTCATTACTTTCTAAAGGAAAATGAGCAGGCAGATAAGACTGGCTGGCTCTGCACCACTTGGTGGTGAATTGATGTATGCCAAGTTAGATATTGTGAGGGCCCTTTGGGAGTGAGTAATAGAGCAGAGGTGCAAAGAGATCATTACGATCTGAGGAGAATGGCGCTGCAAGGAGTTACCAGGAGATGTGGCCGACACTCAACACTTAGGGGAAGGATGAGACGGATATACACTCAGACAGTTACTGGTACCATCGGATTCGGAACTCTTCGCTTGCTGCTGAAGATGGGGGACTGAGCACTTATGGGAGTGTCCCGAGTGCTGTGATGTCGATTCTTTATTCAACATTCTGAACACGTTGTTTCTTGATACGATTGTGCTAAATCACACAGAAAGGAAATCAAACCAGGTATCTCAGGATTACAAACCATGTTCACAACATGACAAAAAATCTTCATGGAAATAGGACATCAGGAATGTGATGACTCAGATTTTTACAGACAAATCGACATTTAAGGGGTGATGTGGTCAAGATCCTGCCAGCTGCCTTTATTTCCTACATTTTTCTGGTATCCATTCTAGTCTCCGTGGATGTGGGAGCCATGGTCATTTTGTAGTTAAGAGATTGGTGAATGTGTTTAACAGTTTTACAATCCTTAAGTACTAAGCTTTGACTGAGGGTGGACTGTTTAAAACAAAAATTTTAAAAATGAAACGACTGCCGCGCTCATGGCTTTCAGAAAATAGTACAGAAGTTGCATCGTTCAAAAGAATGGGGCCTCGTCACTAATTTTCCCAAAGACAGCAGTAGATGCACTGTCAGCCAACCTTCACTGTGGTTCCATTTCAATGGTTTGAAATGAATTCTGTCTGTATTCCACAGTTGTGGATTTCAAGCTGTACAATAGATATGGCCAATAAGGCACCTTTTTTTTTAGGTGTGCCTAGTTGACCATGTTCTTAGTGCACCTGTTTCCATAGCGAGATGCACATGCCATCTGGAGGTGACAGGTTCAATTCCCAGCAGGGTAACTATGGCTTTCGATTGTTATGTTTGTCTGATGTGATCTATCATTCTACTTCTTTCTATGAGTGCAGATCAATACATTTTCTGTTACTTTATAATTATATAACCTTTACTGTGGAAACGGCATTGTATTGTACAGTTTGTGTACAGTTCGGAGGAGCAGATGGATCACCAGTCTGGTGAGATTGATGCAGCGGTGAGTGACAAGAGGTTCTGGCAGATGCTCGAGGCTCAGGGGAAAGGCAAGACGAACGTTTATTCAAAATGCTACTGGCACCATTAGTATCGGAACTCTTCGCTGGCTGCTGAAGATAGGGATGGAGCACTTATGGGAATGCCCCGAGTGCTGTGATGTCAGTTCTTGAATCAAATCAAATCAAAGGCGTTGAATTTTAATTTTGTATCATATGCCTAACTGGTCGCCAGCATGGAAAGGGTCTTTTTATTTATTTGGACAATAGCTAGATGAATGAGAAATTCTACTTCTTTCTATGAGTGCAGATCAATACATTTTCTATTACTTTATTAATATATAACCTTAACTGTGGAAACGGCAATGAACTTTAATTTTGTATCATATGCCTAACTGGTCGCCACCATGGAAAGGGTCTTTTTTTTATTTGGACAATAGCTAGATGAATGAGAAATTTGCTGACTGACTGCTTCAGAAATTCTGTTTGTAGAAATTAACTTATCAAGTAATCAGGTAATCACACAGTTTCAACTTCAGGACACTGACGGAGGGGGCTGCGTGGTCTCGAGTGCTAGAGGTTCTGGGTTCAATCCCCGGTAAGGGCTGGGATTTTTTCACGTGGACTTGGACTTCTAGTAATTTCCCCCTGGTCTCTGGGTAGTGAGATCGGACGCCCGTGTGCATTGTTGCGCAGGTTAAAAAAAATCCCTTGGCAGTTGGAAATCGAAAAGAGTAGCCTAATGGCACTGCCCGGACAAAATTTAGAGTTGAAAATCTACTCAAAGTATTTCAGGATCCTCAATGGTGCTACAGAGCCTGTGCACTGTGCTGAGCTTCTTTGGACTCAGACTTGAGCTAGAGGAAAAACGTAGCACTTATGGGTTACTAACCATGTGCCTTGATGTTGGTCAGTTGTTCAAACCTCAAGACTTGAGTTATAAGAAAAAAGGGAGCAATTACGGGTTACTACCCATGTGCCATGATGTTGATCAGTTGTTCAAAACCTCAAGACTTGAGTTATAAGAAAAAAGGGAGCATTAAGGGTTACTACCCATGTGCCATGATGTTGGTCACTTGTTCAAACCTCAAGACTTGAGTTATAAGAAAAAAGGGAGCACTTACGGGTTACTACCCATGTGCCATGATGTTGGTCAGTTGTTCGAACCTCAAGACTTAAGTTATAAGAAAAAAAAACGCAGCACTTATGAGTGCCATGATGTTGATCAGTTGTTCAAAACCTCAAGCCTCACGGCAGACGGGAACCCTGTAGTTGCGCCATCCCTGTGTCAACAAAAACAATACAGAAACATTTGACAGACTGCAGGCTCAGTAGCATACACATGTATTAAATGTATAAGGCAGTTAGTATAAGTGCCAACGCAAACAGTCCATCACTGAAAATTCAGTTCATTGTCAATGGAAGCGGCAGTTATAACAAATTAGTAGTTGCATATGGAGTTAACCATGTAAGGCCCCACAAGTTCTCTGGCAGCAGGCCACTTGCCATTTCTGAATCTGCAATTCACAACACAACCCATCTTTTGCACAGCTATAAAGCATTCTAAATGAAATCAGCAGCTCACAGTGCCTGCCGGACATGCATTCAACTCAGTAGCTGGGTAATGGAACTATATCCTTTCAGTCTACATATGAAGGAAAATGCAACAGCTAACCATTGAGATAAGCAAAAACAACTACAAACAGTAAACCCGCCTATTCGCTATATTGACTGGAGGCTAACTGACCGACTAACACTCACAATTTTAATTGTTCTTTTTTTGTACAGATTGTAAGGCTGATAAAATGAGTGATTCAAACGTTTTGAAAAAAAAGCTGTGATCTAAAGACAGTTTGTAACAAACATCAGAAAGAGCCAGTCATTTTAATATCACTTTGTGAGAAGAGAAAAAAAAATAACATTGGATGCTGTTTTAATACCATCAGTGTTCCTGGTTGTCACATGCCTGCTAGACCCAGTGTCTTCTTGGTTGTCACATGTTTGCTAGACCCACTGTCTTCTTGGTTGTCACATGTTTGCTAGACCCAGTGTCTTCCTGGTTGTCACATGTTTGCTAGACCCAGTGTCTTCCTGGTTGTCACATGTTTGCTAGACCCAGTGTCGTCTTGGTTGTCACATGTCTGCTAGACCCAGTGTCTTCCTGGTTGTCAAATGTCTGCTAGACCCACTGTCTTCCTCCTGGTTGTCACATGTTTGCTAGACCCAGTGTCTTCTTGGTTGTCACATGTCTGCTAGACCCAGTGTCTTCTTGATTGTCACATGTCTGCTAGACCCAGTGTCCTCATGATTGTCACAGGTTTGCTAGAAACACTATCTTCCTGGTTGTCACATGTATGCTAGACCCACTGTCTTGCTCCTGGTTGTCACATGTTTGCTAGACCCAGTGTCTTCTTCCTGGTTGTCACATGTTTGCTAGACCCAGTGTCCTCATGATTGTCACAGGTTTGCTAGAACCACTATCTTCCTGGTTGTCACATGTAAGCCTGACCCAATGTCTTCCTGGTTGTCACATGTAAGCCTGACCTAGTGTCTTTTTGGCTGTCATATGTCTGCTAGACCCACCGTCTTTCTGGCTGTCATATGTCTGCTAGACCCAGTGTCTTTCTGGCTGTCATATGTCTGCTAGACCCACTGTCTTTCTGGCTGTCATATGTCTGCTAGACCCACCGTCTTTCTGGCTGTCATATGTCTGCTAGACCCACCGTCTTTCTGGCTGTCATATGTCTGCTAGACCCACTGTCTTTCTGGTTGTCACATGTATGCTAGACCCAGTGTCTTCCTATTTTCACAAGTTTGCTAGACCCACTGTCTTTCTGGTTGTCACATGTATGCTAGACCCAGTGTCTTCCTGCTTGTCACATGTTTGCTAGACCAGTGTCTTCCTGGTTGTCACATGTATGCTAGACCCAGTCTTTCTGGTTGTCACATGTATGCTTGACCAGTGTCTTTCTGGTTGTCACATGTAAGTTAGACCCAGTGTCTTCCTGGTTGTCACATGTCTGCTAGACCCAGTGTCTTTCTGGTTGTCACATGTAAGTTAGACCCAGTGTCTTCCTGGTTGTCACATGTATGCTAGACCCAGTGTCCTTCTAGTTATCACATGTCTGCTAGGAGAGAGATCACAAATAAGAAGTCAGCTGAAATTAGATTTGATGGGCTGAAAGTTGCATATATTGCAGCCTAAGCACCCTTTTAATGGCAAACGCAGATATGAACAGCAGCTCCCTCATTTCCCCCAAGACACTGCTTGTGAGTATTTCAAAACAAAACATGATCACTTTCAAGTTTAGGTTACACAGAAATTTAAACAAAATTTTTGAGAATCTCTTCTCTCTCTTCTTTGAGAAATCTTCGTATGAGGACATCGGCTGGTTCTGCAGCACTGCTGACTTGCTTTTCTAGAGTAGCTCTGAAGTCTTCTTTGACACCCTTGTTGACGCCTCTGGTGACTGTCCTCTGTCTGCAATATTTAATGTGTTAATTGTGTTAGCTGCAACAGGAAACTATGTGTAACTCTTCTCTGTGATAGGTCATAAGCAGCAAAACAAAAGAAAAAGAAAGAATTTATTTTATATAATTTATCATTGTAATTAGGGAGGGGGGTGGGGACTCCGTGGTCTTGAGGCACAGTGTCAAGCGTTAGAGGTTCCGGGTTCAATCCCCAGTGAGTACTGGGATTTTTTCACTTGGACTTCTAGTTATTCCCCCCTTGTCTCTGGGAAGTGAGATCGGACGCCCGTGTGCACTGTTGCTCACGTAAAAAAATCTCTTGGCAGTTGGAAATCGAAAAGAGTAGCCTAACGCCGCTGCCTGGGCAAAATTTTGAGTTGAAAATCAACTCAAAGTATTTAAGGATCCTCGCCGGTGCTAGAGAGCTGAGCTTCTTTACCCAGGCTTGAGCTAGAAGAAGAGCGGAGTAGTTATGGGTTACTACCTATGTGGCTTGATGTTGATCCGCTGTTCAAACCTCAAACCTCTTGTAACAAATATACACACACTAGAACACTTATACAGAACACAATTCTAAAGTCTAAATTTCCTTATGCGAAAGAAACAGAACACTATATTCATTGTGTGAAGTGGACACAACGGACTTCTCTGCTGTGTCTAAGAAATTCAAGACTGGGGACTCAGAACTTTGCCCATGTGGACAGGCACCTCAGGACTCAGAACTTTGCCCATGTGGACAGGCACCTCAGGACTCAGAACTTTGCCTATGTGGACAGAACTTTGCCCATGTGGATAGAACTTTGCCCGTGTGGACAGAACTTTGCCCATGTGGACAGAACTTTGCCCATGTGGACAGAACTTTGCCCATGTGGACAGAACTTTGCCCATGTGGACAGAACTTTGCCCATGTGGACAGAACTTTGCCCATGTGGACAGAACTTTGCCCATGTGGACAGAACTTTGCCCATGTGGACAGAACTTTGCCCATGTGGACAGGCACCTCAGGACTCAGACTGCGTGTGTATTTCTATGTGTTTGTGTGTATGCATTTCTGCGTGTTTGTCTCTGTGGATGTCAGTATGTGTTTGTGTGTTTGCATTTCTGGATGTTTGTCTCTGTGGATGTCAGTATGTGTTTGTCTGCCTGTTTGTCTATATTTGTGTGTGTGTGTGTGTGTGTGTGTTTGACTGCGTGTGTGTCTATGTGGCTGTATGTATGTGTCTGCATGTTTGTCTGCGTATGTGTGGTGTGTGTCAGTGTGTGAGCACAAATGTAAATATGTGTGTGTCTGTATTTTTGTCTGAGTGTGTGTGTCTCTGTGGGAGTGTCCGTGTGTGCATGTGTGTGTCTCCATGCATGACTGTATTTATGACTGTATGTTTGTATGTGTGTATGCCTGTATTACGTATGTATGTATGAATGTATGTCTGTATGTTTGTATTTATGTATGTATGTTTGTGTGTATGTATGCCTGTGTGTATGTGTATGCATGTGTGTATGTATGTATGTATGCCTGTATGTATGTATGTAATGTATGCATGCATGTATGTGTGTGTAAGTGAGTGGGTGAGCGTGTGTATGTGGGTGTATGTATGCACGCGCAGGTTTTTGCATGCACTTTACAACTCATGCTTTTGTGTTCTTTTATAATATTCATAATATGCATAACATCATATGATCATAACATGCTTTATTAGTAAAATACAACTGCTGTGCGAAAGATGGTTGACTGGAAGGGCCGAATGTAAGACGGGCCTGCGTGCCCAATTTGTGACCTTTAAAATAAAGTTCGTTCGTTCGTTCAGAACTTTGCCCATGTGGACAGAACTTTGGCCATGTGGACAGGCACCTCAGGACTCAGAACTTTGCCCATGTAGACAGAACTTTGCCCATGTGGACAGAACTTTGCCCGTGCCCATGTGGGCAGAACTTTGCCCATGTGGGCAGAACTTTGCCCATGTGGGCAGAACTTTGCCCATGTGGGCAGAACTTTGCCCATGTAGACAGAACTTTGCCCATGTGGACAGAACTTTGCCCGTGCCCATGTGGGCAGAACTTTGCCCATGTGGGCAGAACTTTGCCCATGGGGCAGAACTTTGCCCATGTAGACAGAACTTTGCCCGTGTGGACAGAACTCTGCCCGTGTGGACAGAACTTTGCCCATATGGACAGAACTTTGCCCATGTGGACAGAACTTTGCCCATGTGGACAGAACTTTGCCCATGTAGACAGAACTTTGCCCATGTGGACAGAACTTTGCCCATGCCCATGTGGACAGAACTTTGCCCATGCCCATGTGGACAGAACTTTGCCCATGTGGACAGGCACCTCAGGACTCAGACTGCGTGTGTATTTCTATGTGTTTGTGTGTATGCATTTCTGCGTGTTTGTCTTTGTGGGTGTCAGTATGTGTTTGTGTGTTTAACTGCGTGTGTGTCTATGTTGCTGTATGTATGTGTCTGCATGTTTGTCTGCGTATGTGTGGTGTGTGTGTCAGCATAAATGTAAATATGTGTGTGTGTCTGTATTTTTGTCTGAGTGTGTGTGTGTCTCTGTGGGAGTGTCCCTGTGTGCATGTGAGGTGAGGCAGGGATGTTTGCAAACCTCTCTCATTTACTATATACTTAGAATATCAAAAGATTATCAAATCATTATGGAGCAGCGTTAGCGCAGTCGATAGGAAGCGTGCTTTCAAATCCAGCTGCGACTCGCTGCAGCCACAGTCAGTGTTCGAAACCGGGCAGTTCCCAGGGTTCACCAAGCCTTTAGGAAATGGGTACTAGAGTTGACACTCAGGGGTGAAAGGATTAACATCGCTGTAGCTATGGAGCTACGTACGGACGGCGACACAGGCGGACAGTTTCTTATCAGCTGTCCGTACTGGTGGCAGAGCACTTATGGTTTATAACCGTGTGCAGTGACACTGGTTCACATCTTCTGACTTTACCTTTTCAATATCAAAAGAATCCAGCTTTAAAGAAGTTGACCCAGAAAATCCTGAAAATGAGGACTTTACTTTCCAGAAAAAGAATTAAACCCACATACAAAAAATGAGCTACCGTTTGCAGATGATCAGTGCCTGTTCCATAATGAGGGGAGTAGACTGCAAGAACATTTGAACAGGCTAAGTTCAACAAGCAGAAGATATAACATGAAAATAAATACTACTAAAACTGAAGTAATGAAGGTCAGCAGAATTCCTAATCAAAGGCTAACCTACGTAAAATTAACACCTGTGGAAATGAGATGCCTGAGAAAAGCCGCCAATTTAACCATCCGAGACAAAGTTAGAAATGTTAACACCATGCAGCAAATTCATTGAGAAATAAGATCAAATTATTTGATCATCTAGTAAGAATGCAGCTAGAACAACTACCAACGCAGGCGCTACACTTAAAAGATCTGAAGTGAAAGCAACAGGCTGCCTTAGGAGAATATGGACTGATGACATTAAATAGCTTCTACATCTACATGGAATGACAGCCATTGCTGTCCATCAAGCAGTGGATCGCAAACTGTTCCTCTCCACAACAATTAACGGCAGAAGTGGAAATTGATGAGGATGATAATGATCTAAAAATTAATGATAAACAGATTCTGGTCAACAAGATATTTTTTTTTAAATATTTTATATATATTTAAAGCATACATGGAAAGAGAAGAAGGACGTAGAGCACGGGGTAGACCAAGAACAAGATGGAAGGATAACATCAGAGAAACTCTACAACAGCACAATGTGCCTATGGTCGAGGCAGCCAGAAGAGCTAGAAACAGAACCTTATATTTCCCTCGACACCCACAGCAGTAAAAGAGGAAGTGAAGAAGAAGAAGATATATATATATATATATATATATATATATATATATATATATATATATATATATATATATATCTTCTTCTGTAAATATATATATATATATATATATATATATATATATATATATATATATATACTGTAACTATAAATCATGAAATCACACTAAAATTAGCACAGAATGTTCGGGACAATACTCACTGGGCTAGAGCTTTTGTGCTGATTGGCATGATATCTAGATTAACCTTTCCTCCCTCGGGGGTGTCCAGAAATGCAAACTCTTCCAGGATGTCCACTTCTAAATCGGTGTCAAGGAACTAAGATACCTCCTTATGTTCTAAACTTACAATAGCGCTTCAAATGAAACCTTAAAAGTGTGACAGAAATGACAAAAACCATGCCAGTCTTGTAAGCTGTCAATATTGTTGTTAAGGATGTCAAGAGTGTTAAGTAAAAAATTTTTTTTTCAAAAGTCGGGAGATGTGAACCAGCGTCATTGCACACGGTTATAAACCATAAGTGCTCTGCCACCAGTATGGACAGCTAATAAGAAACTGTACGCCTGTGTCGCTGTCTGCACGTAATTCTGTAGCTACAGAAATGTTCCTCCATTTACCCCAGAGTGTCAACGCTGGTACCCATTTCCTAGAGGCTTGGTGAACCCCGGAAACCGCACGGTTTTGAACACCGACCGTGGGCTGCAGCGAGTCCCAGCTGGATTTGAAAGCGAGTCTCGTATCGACTGCGCTAACGCAGCCTCCAAAAAGAGTGTTAAGTATGCGACATCAAAGTGCAGATGAACACGGTGACATCATAATGATAGTTTAAAGATGGTAACCCCTCTTTTGACATGCACCAAAGAGGAGCAGCATTCTGATATCTGTTTTTCATCAGTGAAGGGGTGAAACCTGAAGAAATTAATCGGCAAATGATGATTCTCTACGCTGATGCATACCCGTCAGTCTAGGAAGTATACGAGTGGAGCTATTTCTATGACACTTCTACAGTTTCCACTCAAAGCCCCCTCGCACTAAACACTTTATATTTTAAATAACCTAGCAAGACCAGAGAATGATCACTTTTTTTGTATAGTCCTAAGTCCACGCAGTATAAAGACAGCAGTCAAGTCTTTCCACAACCTTCTGTTGCATGCATTTCAAATCATTTCTGACACCGAGGATCTTCTATGACCTTATTTTAAACTGTCCAGCATGATCTCTCTCGACTTTCCTCTGCCTCTTTTCCCCTCTAGCTTTCCCACCGTCAAGATGTATTCAGGCTTCCTCCTCCTCATGAAATGACTAAAGAATGTCAATCATCTCCTTCCAATGTGTGCAATCTGTTTTCTTCATGAGTCTCTATCAAGACCATCTTCATTACTCTTTAGCTATCTATCCAGGGTGTTTTCTCTCACCATTCGTCTATAAAACCACATTTCTGCTGCTTATGCATAATTTTTTCACTAATCAATTTTCTGACCATGATTCACTTCCTTATATCAAGCTTGGAATTATACAGCTTTTGAGAATTCTCCTCCTTCCTTCAATGATCGCTTATCAGACAAAAAAATAGGGATTACATACAAATGGAAAGTTTTACACATAATATAAAGTTTAGGAAAAGGATATGATAAACATATGAGCATACTATATAATGCGTAAAACAGAAAACAAGTGAGAAAAAAGGATACGATGAACATATGAGAAAAAAGTATTGTACGTAAAGCTGCCATGCATCTGTATGATGGAAATCACTTCAGAAAACGTGGACTCATGTTTCGGCCAGTCGTGCTGCAATAAAATGATGAGGTGTGCCAAGGTTGAGTCGGTTCTCTGTGGAGAGGCCAGTTTCTCCTGAAAAGAAAAACAATATTACATATAAGAATGCACGAAAATAGTAGGTAAATTGGAAAGCCATTCTCATGCCTTGATGAACTTTAGGCATATGGTGCTAGGTCCATATCGTATAGACCAATCAGCCTTAGCCGGGGGGTGGGGGAGGGGTGGGGGCAAGTAGCTGAACAACCAGAAACTTCCACCATAATTTACAGCCAGTGAACGCCAAGAAGAATAAAAAGAAGAATTTTGGATTAATTTATGAGAAAGTTTTTACCGATAGGGATTTAAATTAAACACAGTCAAGTGAACATACCAGTTCCTGCACCACCACAGATACCACAAACCAAACATTGAGTACCTTGTGTACTGATCATACTGTTCATCAAGTGTCGGTTGACATGCAACAATATGGGACCACCACCAGTTATCTCCAACCCCCAGGCCGAGCCAGCCTTAAATGGGTACCAGTTAAAGTCCTGGGAAGTAAAAGCGGCCGGTGTGATGTTGATCAATTCATTCACCGAGTGCCGATTGGTCTATTAAATAAATTTAAAAAAACACAGGTCTAACTTTATATGCCCTGAAGACGTGGAAAAGGGTTCTTTACTTTTTACCATTTATTCTGGAACTTGGTGACTTCTGCATTCATCCTCAAAAAGGAGGCTGACACACAATGTTGTAGTTTACAGCTAGGATGCGATATCTGCATGTTTTGGCCCAACAAATCAGCAAAACCTTAATTAGTTGCTATCTACAACATGATTTAAAAGGGAGGGGGAGGGTGTGTCTATTTTATATCCCCCAAAACCAGTGCCCCAGAATCCACTCAGAGAGAGAGAGTCGATTGATACACAACAATAAAAGACTAGCAAGATCTATCCTGCAACTTGATGGTAACTGACTGGAAACTCCGGCGGAAAGTTCTGGTTGTCCGTCCACTTCTGCACTTAAGTCTGGTTCCAGAACTTGATTTTTGCATGCATATCTATTTTACAGATCTGGCTTATTTGTATGCAGACTGTTTGTTCCTTACCTCTTAAGGAGATGCACACCGCCCTTGGAAGAAGATACCCCTAATTAGTTGACTTTTATGATGTGCTTGTGGGGGGGGGGGGGGCCTTTCTTCTCCCCCCACAATGGAGCACCAGAACCCACCGGGAAGCAGGACATACCATGATGGTATCTTCCATGACCAGTTGGTTTTAGCAGCTAACATTTCTTCTTACGTGATCGGGGGGGAGATAGTCTCATCCTAAAACTCCTTCCGGCGTAATGCTGACCACATAACCCTAGTGCCGATTGGTCTGTAAAAATATGGGTGCTTTTCCCATATGCCCGATGTGCCTTAGGCTAAAAAGGGATCTTTACTTAGATCTGTACTTTTAACACTCCTCAGTTACCACTTACACTCACAGCTGTAAACCACAACACAATATCTCAACTGCTCTTTTTAGGAGGAATGCAAAAGAAAAAAAGAAATATGAGGATTTGCGTTAACGACGAGCATTTATCCCAGATAAAAACAAGCATTTATTCCAGCTAAAGACATTTATCCCAGCTAAAGACATTTATCCCAGCTACAGACATTTATCCCAGCTACAGACATTTATCCCAGCTAAAGACATTTATCCCAGCTAAAGACATTTATCCCAGCTAAAGACATTTATCCCAGCTAAAGACATTTATCCCAACTAAAGACAAACACTTATCCCAGCTAAAGACATTTATCCCAGCTAAAGACATTTATCCCAGCTAAAGACATTTATCCCAACTAAAGACAAACACTTATCCCAGCTAAAGACATTTATCCCAGCTAAAGACATTTATCCCAGCTAAAGACACTTATCCCAGCTAAAGACATTTATCCCAGCTAAAGACATTTATCCCAGCTAAAGACATTTATCCCAGCTAAAGACATTTATCCCAGCTACTGACATTTATCCCAGCTAAAGACATTTATTCCAGCTAAAGACATTTATCCCAGCTAAAGACATTCATCACAGCTAAAGACAAACACTTATCCCAGCTAAAGACAAACACTTATCCCAGCTAAAGACAAACACTTATTCCAGCTAAAGACAAACACTTATCGCAGCTAAAGACAAACACTTATCCCAGCTAAAGACACTTATTCCAGCTAAAGACATTTATCCCAGCTAAAGACATTTATCACAGCTAAAGACAAACACTTATCCCAGCTAAAGACAAACACTTATCCCAGCTAAAGACAAACACTTATCCCAGCTAAAGACAAACACTTATTCCAGCTAAAGACATTCATCCCAGCTAAACATTTATCCCAGCTACAGACATTAATCCCAGCTACAGACATTTATCCCAGCTACAGACATTAATCCCAGCTACAGACATTTATCCCAGCTACAGACATTTATCCCAGCTAAACATTTATCCCAGCTAAAGACATTTATCGCAGCTAAAGACATTTATCGCAGCTAAAGACATTAATCCCAGCTAAAGACATTTATCCCAGCTACAGACATTTATCCCAGCTACAGACATTAATCCCAGCTACAGACATTTATCCCAGCTACAGACATTAATCCCAGCTACAGACATTTATCCCAGCTACAGACATTTATCCCAGCTACAGACATTTATCTCAGCTAAAGACATTTATCCCAGCTACAGACATTTATCTCAGCTACAGACATTTATCTCAGCTAAAGACATTTATCGCAGCTAAAGACATTTATCTCAGCTAAAGACATTTATCCCAGCTACAGACATTTATCTCAGCTAAAGACATTTATCCCAGCTAAACATTTATCCTAGCTGAAGACAAACACTTATTCCAGCTACAGACATTTATCACAGCTAAAGACATTTATCCCAGCTACAGACATTTATCTCAGCTAAAGACATTTATCGCAGCTAAAGACATTAATCCCAGCTAAAGACATTTATCACAGCTACAGACATTAATCCCAGCTACAGACATTTATCCAAGCTACAGACATTTATCCCAGCTACAGACATTAATCCCAGCTAAAGACATTTATCCCAGCTACAGACATTTATCCCAGCTACAGACATTTATCCCAGCTAAAGACATTTATCCCAGCTACAGACATTTATCCCAGCTAAAGACATTTATCCCAGCTAAAGACATTTATTCCAGCTAAAGACATTTATCCCAGCTAAAGACATTTATCCCAGCTAAAGACATTTATCCCAGCTAAAGACATTTATCCCAGCTAAAGACATTTATCCCAGCTACAGACATTTATCCAAGCTAAAGACATTTATGGCAGCTAAAGACATTTATCACAGCTAAAGACATTTATCCCAGCTAAAGACATTTATCCCAGCTAAAGACATTTATCACAGCTAAAGACATTTATGGCAGCTAAAGACATTTATCGCAGCTAAAGACATTTATCGCAGCTAAAGACATTTATCGCAGCTAAAGACATTTATCCCAGCTAAAGACATTTATCCCAGCTAAAGACATTTATCCTAGCTAAAGACATTTATTCCAGCTAAAGACATTTATCCTAGCTAAAGACATTTATTCCAGCTAAAGACATTTATCCCAGCTAAAGACATTTATTCCAGCTAAAGACATTTATCCCAGTTGAACATTTATCCCAGCTAAAGACATTTATCCTAGCTAAAGACATTTATCCCAGCTAAAGGACATTTATCCCAGCTAAACATTTATCCTAGCTAAAGACATTTATCCCAGCTAAAGGACATTTATCCCAGCTAAACATTTATTCCAACTGAAGACAAACACTTATCCCAGCTAAACACATTTATCCGAGCTAAACACATTTATCCCAGCTAAAATATTCAATCTACCTGAAGCATAGAAAACAGTCCTTTACTAATCTACCACACCAGTCTGTGCTTGTATTCTGTAGGAGCTTAATATAGCCTTTGTATTGTTTTAGGCTTACATGCTTCCTCACAGTATGATAAACAAATTAACATGTACTGATTGGCACTCACAGACAGAAGCAGATATAGGTGGACATACAACATTAAAAAAATGACAGTGATTGTGACCATACCTGGACTTGAACTTGTCACCTGTTCAAACTTTTCACCTGTTTTAACTTGTCAAATATGTCACCTGTTAAATTTTTTAAATAGAAATTGTCATGTCTGAATTTGTCCCATCTCTTCTTCTTCTTGCGTTCACCGGCTGTAAACTCCGGCGAAAAGTTCTGATTGTTCGTCCACTTCTGGACTGCAGTCCTGTTCCAGAACCTCAGTGTTGCGTGTGCATCAATTTGACAGATCTGTATGCAGACTGTTGGTTCCTTGCCTCTCAGGCAAATGCACTCCAACTTCGAAGGAAGCTCCCAATTAGTCAACTCTTACGACATGCTTTTGGGTAGGCAGTGGGTCTATTCTTGTTTTTTCCATAGTAGGGCCCCGGAACCCACACAGGGGTTTGTCCCATCTGAACTTGTCCCCTGTTTGAACTTTTCACCTGTTCGAGTCCTGGTGTGTCCTCAGACCTCTTTGAGTGCTCACCCACTGGGATGGCTGCTGCTACACCAGAAGAAGGATCATGGACTGATGTGCTAGGATGTATGTTGATACGGGTAACAAATAACACGAGTGCCAACCAATACAGTTCAATTTGTTTACCATACAGTTTCTATGGCCTCAAGGACTCCCAGCTATTTACTTCCGGATGCTTCCTCGCAGCTTACTTTCAAACCGGCGATCAGGAAATGTAGACAAAATGGCAGAACTTCCCCATCCAAACACTGCAGCATCAACAGTCTGCGTCCAGATTTGGTTTCACCTTTCTCTTCTGTACTGTCGTCTGCACTCAGGGTCGAGGACATGGGACCACTGGATGGTATTGTGTCTACAAGATCTAATACTTGTTCACAAGCTTTCTGTATAAAACAATCATTTGTAGATTTAAAAAAAAGTAATATATAGTTGCTCAATGCATAAACAAAATGCAAATGTAATGCTCATTTTCATCATTCTGTTGTTCTAATTTATATGTCACACGGGGCTCACTACTTATTTCTTCTTTCCATTATAACCTGTGCCAAAACTGCCGTATGCATCACTTCTGCGGTGTAGGCCGGGAGTGGGGGGGTGGTGTCTTTGAGCCTGAGGATATGTCCACATGGTTAGTGCTGTCGCCACGACTGTGCAGATTAGGATTTCGCCCCCCCCCCCCCCCAGAAATAAATCCCTAATCTTACTAAGGATTTGAACCCTGGTCTCTCACATGTGAGCTCAGCCACTCCTCTTGTGCAATCCTTTCAATATTTTGTATTGAATGCAATCCTGCCCCGCTATTCTGAGCTCTCTCACCAATCTGGTAATCCTCTCATCAATGTTTGCTGTAGGGTTTTTCTTGAACATCTTCTTGTCCTTAATCCATTTTCCAGTTCCCCCTGTTCTGTGATTCTTTGCCTGCTTCATCTCAAAATATGTTCAGTACATCACCATCCTCTCTTATACATTTCTCTGATCAATATTTAAAAATAAACTGAAACAAAATTGTACTCTTATTCACATAAGCACATTTTTCGCTTTTCTTCTTCGCGCTCACCAGCGGTAAATTCAAGCAGAAAGTTCTAGTTGTTCGTCCACTTTAGTTTTGTGCCAGAACTTGATTTTGAATGCACATCCATTTTACGGATCTGGTTTATTTGTATGCAGACAATTCTTCTTCTTCTTCTTTGTTCACCGGCTGTGAATTCCGGCGGAAGGTCCCGGTTAATCGTCCGCTTGGACTTTTGGCTTTTACCTGAACCTGAGTTTTGCGTGTACAACCGTTTTGCTGTTCCCTGCCTCGCGGGCAGATGTGCTCAGACTTCGAGGGAGGCAGACAATTGTTTCCTCAGATCTGAGGCAGATGTGCTCCGACTTCGAGGGAGGCAGACAATTGTTTCCTCAGATCTGAGGCAGATGTGCTCCGACTTCGAGGGAGGCAGACAATTGTTTCCTCAGATCTGAGGCAGATGTGCTCCGACTTCGAGGGAGGCAGACAATTGTTTCCTCAGATCTGAGGCAGATGTGCTCCGACTTCGAGGGAGGCAGACAATTGTTTCCTCAGATCTGAGGCAGATGTGCTCCGACTTCAAGGGAGGCAGACAATTGTTTCCTCAGATCTGAGGCAGATGTGCTCTGACTTCGAGGGAGGCAGACAATTGTTTCCTCATATCTGAGACAGATGTGTTCTGACTTCGAGGGAGGCAGACAATTGTTTCCTCATATCTGAGGCAGATGTGCTCCGACTTCAGCAGAAAGATCCTTAATTAGTCGCCTTTTATGGCATGCTCGTTAGGGAGGCAGCCTCTATTCTTTCTTTCCCTCCAAAATGAGACCTTGTAACCCACACGGGTACGTATCGGTTCGCCATATGAAATTCTGGTGAATAATTCATTTTAGTTAAACACTATCAGTATACGTTTCCATATTATTTCTTCAAAACATGTTTTATCTAATCCAATCTTGGTATTCAGGTCATCCATGGAAATGTTGTTACTACCATGCATGTATTTGACTGTCTACAGTTCTTTGAAGTTTCATGTAAATTCCTACTGATTAATCTAGCCACATCTTTGTGGCATGCAATTTTTCATTATTTGAAGCCCTACTCTTGCCAGGGGCTGCAATATGGTCCGGCCATAAAATATGGTCTAATGGCTAAACACAGTTTCTAGGACCTCTCCATGGGTGATCCTCATCCATATGGTGGTGGCACTTTGTATCATCATGTGTTTATTGCTTGTGTGATGTCCTGGTGGGGTAAAAGAAGATAGACAGACAGATCGTACTGAACAAATGCATCCTTCATAATTTGTTTGTGAACACCTCAGGATCATCTTCTGGGCATATGTGGTGATTCTAAACATTGTAATAATTCTCAACCTCACTATTACAGCCTTTCTTGCCTTTTTAGATAGGCAGCTTTGGGGCAGTGAAGGAATTATCTCCTCTGGATAATTTTACAGCACCACTCATCATCATGTAGCAGGTCCTTTGCAGAACGTCGCTCTCATCACGGTCTGCTTGAAAGAAACTCGGTCTCTCGCCAGTTCTCTCACCTCATGAACTTTCATACTCAAGGAGTCACTTATATCCTGTGCCCATCTTCGTGTCAGTCGGCCCCTGCCCCCCCTTCCTGCTACCATGCCTTCTGCTATAATTGTTCCCAATCCGTCGTGGGCCTTGATATGACCAAAATATTTCAGCTTCCGAGACAGGATGTTGTTTATCAACCAATCTTCCTTTTGAAATTCAGATCTTTCAAGGTGTCAGTATTTCTCCTCTTCTTTGTCCAAGATATTCTGAGAATCTTTCTATAGCATCACTAGCAGAATTAATTCTGCCACATTCCATTTTGTACGACTTTATTTTATTTCCCTACCCCTTGCGCTATCCACTTATGCACAGGCTAACACTCCAAGTGTCAATACTGGAGATTCCCTGAAGTGAAAGGAGGTAAATTATTATCCAGGCTACTTACGGCTTTACCACATATTCTGTCTAGGAAAACTAAACTTCTTATGGTACCATACTTGGTAGAGGAAAAGAATCTCGATTTAGGTTTACTAAAAAAAACAATCATCTCCTTGTAAGATGCAATTTTTCATTATTTTGAAGCCCCACCGTGGCTCTTGCCAGGGGTCGCAATATAACCCGGCCATAAATATGGTCTAATGGCTAAATGCGGTTTCCGGGACTTCTCCACGGGTGATCCTCATCCACATGGTGGCATTTTGTGTCATTGAGTGTTTATCGCTTGTGTGATATCCTAGTGGGGTAAAAGTACTACTATTATTCTAGGTTTACAGAGATGAGGTTTCTTCCATTTCTTTGAAATTGTCCATAATCAGCTGATTTTAGCAGCTAACGTTTCTTCTTACTTGGTTGGGGAGATATTATCCTAACACTCCTTAGTCATCACTTACACTCACAGCCTAGCTGTAAACCACAACACAATATACCAACTGTTCTTTTAGGAAAAATGCAGAAGAAAAACAGAAATAAAAAGGATCTACATTAAAGAGCGTTTATCCCAGCTAAGCTAAAGACTTTTATCCCGGCTAAGCTAAAGACATTTATCCCGGCTAAGCTAAAGACATTTATCCCAGCTAAGCTAAAGACATTTATCCCAGCTAAGCTAAAGACATTTATCCCAGCTAAGCTAAAGACATTTATCCCAGCTAAGCTAAAGACATTTATCCCAGCTAAAAGACATTTATCCCAGCTAAGCTAAAGACATTTATCCCGGCTAAGCTAAAGACTTTTATCCCGGCTAAGCTAAAGACATTTATCCCGGCTAAGCTAAAGACTTTTATCCCAGCTAAGCTAAAGACATTTATCCCGGCTAAGCTAAAGACATTTATCCCAGCTAAGCTAAAGACATTTATCCCGGCTAAGCTAAAGACATTTATCCCAGCTAAGCTAAAGACATTTATCCCAGCTAAGCTAAAGACATTTATCCCAGCTAAGCTAAAGACATTTATCCCAGCTAAAAGACATTTATCCCGGCTAAGCTAAAGACATTTATCCCGGCTAAGCTAAAGACATTTATCCCAGCTAAGCTAAAGACATTTATCCCAGCTAAGCTAAAGACATTTATCCCAGCTAAGCTAAAGACATTTATCCCAGCTAAGCTAAAGACATTTATCCCAGCTAAAAGACATTTATCCCAGCTAAGCTAAAGACATTTATCCCGGCTAAGCTAAAGACTTTTATCCCAGCTAAGCTAAAGACATTTATCCCGGCTAAGCTAAAGACTTTTATCCCAGCTAAGCTAAAAGACATTTATCCCGGCTAAGCTAAAGACATTTATCCCGGCTAAGCTAAAGACTTTTATCCCGGCTAAGCTAAAGACATTTATCCCGGCTAAGCTAAAGACATTTATCCCGGCTAAGCTAAAGACATTTATCCCAGCTAAGCTAAAGACATTTATCCCAGCTAAGCTAAAGACATTTATCCCAGCTAAGCTAAAGACATTTATCCCAGCTAAGCTAAAGACATTTATCCCGGCTAAGCTAAAGACATTTATCCCAGCTAAAAGACATTTATCCCGGCTAAGCTAAAAGACATTTATCCCAGCTAAAAGACATTTATCCCAGCTAAGCTAAAGACATTTATCCCGGCTAAGCTAAAGACATTTATCCCAGCTAAGCTAAAGACATTTATCCCAGCTAAGCTAAAGACATTTATCCCAGCTAAAAGACATTTATCCCAGCTAAGCTAAAGACATTTATCCCAGCTAAGCTAAAGACATTTATCCCGGCTAAAAGACATTTATCCCAGCTAAGCTAAAGACATTTATCCCGGCTAAAAGACATTTATCCCAGCTAAGCTAAAGACATTTATCCCGGCTAAAAGACATTTATCCCAGCTAAGCTAAAGACTTTTATCCCAGCTAAGCTAAAGACATTTATCCCGGCTAAGCTAAAGACTTTTATCCCGGCTAAGCTAAAAACATTTATCCCGGCTAAGCTAAAGACATTTATCCCAGCTAAGCTAAAGACATTTATCCCAGCTAAGCTAAAGACATTTATCCCAGCTAAGCTAAAGACATTTATCCCAGCTAAGCTAAAGACATTTATCCCGGCTAAAAGACATTTATCCCAGCTAAGCTAAAGACTTTTATCCCAGCTAAGCTAAAGACATTTATCCCGGCTAAGCTAAAGACTTTTATCCCGGCTAAGCTAAAGACATTTATCCCAGCTAAGCTAAAGACTTTTATCCCGGCTCAAGTCATTTTTTCCAGCTGATTTCCCAACACATCTGCATCTCCATGAGAAAATATCAGAAGAATGCTAACCACCCTGAAGCATTGCATGTCTCTCTGCATGCAGCAATACTTGTCTTCACCTTCCTTAGCATGCTTTGCGAGTCAGTATCAATCACAGTATGTGTGTGTGCAGCTGATTCTTTTCCTTCTAAGAAGCAATCAGTCAAACAAAGTTTAGGCTGAGTAGATCTGTGAGCCCAGTTTATATTTTCAAAAATCCATTTAGTACAGGCTTTGATACTCTGACTAATGGGCCAGCAAGTGAGCTTATGTATCTCCCAATATATAATAATAAATTTTATTTTTAAAGATTGATACTCTGACTAATGGGCCAGCAAGTGAGCTAATGTATCTCCCAATATATAATAATAAATTTTATTTTTAAACATTGATACTCTGACTAATGGGCCAGCAAGTGAGCTAATGTATCTCCCAATATATAATAATAAATTTTATTTTTAAAGATTGATACTCTGACTAATGGGCCAGCAAGTGAGCTAATGTATCTCCCAATATGGAATAATAAATTTTATTTTTAAAGAAAAACATTAAAAACAAACAAACAAAACACAAGTAAAGTACCCTTTTTACACCGCTGACACACCAGGCATACGATGCAAAACATATATTTTTAAAAACCAATTGTGGTACTTGATGGAGGATGCAGTCAACATCATGCCGACTGCCTTTACTTCCCAGAACTCTATCTGGTACCCATCTTAGGCTGGGTCGACCTGGCAGCCAATGTCATTTGGGGTGGAGGGGGGGGGGGGAATTTTCTGACTTGATATGGATCAAAACATATATGGCCTTTGGGTCGGATAGTGAGCGTCAGGCCACTTCACTGCTGTGGCTCCTGGAAAGTGAATACTCACCGCAAACTGTTTCAGTCCAAAGTAGCAGCTGGCCATTTGTAGTGAATTCCTCACCTGTGGAAATAAATGTACTTATAGAAAATCTGAATAAGAGCGGGTGTTGGTATTTTAAGAAAAAGGTGTTTTGAGTGAGGTAGAAATTAAGTATTTATAGCACCCCAGCATATCTAGCTTTCTTTTGTTATTTGGCCTAACCTTCCACCACATTAGGCCAGATACCGCAGAATCTACTGTAATTAGGGGTTTACTGAAATCAGATATGCTGTGCCAAAAGGTGCCAATATCATAGCATTGATGTAAACTACAACAGAGGGTGCCAACCACTATTGTGAAAGTAAGCGCCCCCCCAAAAAAAAGAAGAAGAAACCGAACAACCTCACTGAGAACTAATCAACTGACCACGTATCTACTGGTCACTCCTGACAACTGACCACGTTTCTACTGGTCACTCCTCACAACTGACCACACATCTACTGGTTACTCCTCACAACTGACCACGTATCTACTGGTTACTCCTCACAACTGACCACGTATCTACTGGTTACTCCTCACAACTGACCATGTATCTACTGGTCACTCCTCACAACTGACCATGTATCTACTGGTTACTCCTCACAACTGACCACGTATCTACTGGTTACTCCTCACAACTGACCACGTATCTACTGGTTACTCCTCACAACTGACCACATATCTACTGGTTGCTCCTCACAACTGACCACGTATCTACTGCTTACTCCCGACAACTGACCACGTATCTACTGGTTACTCCTGACAACTGACCACGTATCTACTGCTTACTCCTCACAACTGACCACGTATCTACTGGTTACTCCCGACAACTGACCACGTATCTACTGGTTACTCCTCACAACTGACCAGGTATCTACTGGTTACTCCTGACAACTGACCACGTATCTACTGGTTACTCCTGACAACTGACCACGTATCTACTGGTTACTCCTCACAACTGACCACGTATTTACTGCTTACTCCTCACAAGTGACCACGTATCTACTGGTTACTCCTCACAACTGACCACGTATCTACTGCTCACTCCTCACAACTGACCATGTATCTACTGGTTACTCCTCACAACTGACCACGTATCTACTGGTTGCTCCTCACAACTGACCACGGATCTACTGCTTACTCCCGACAACTGACCACGTATCTACTGGTTACTCCTGACAACTGACCACGTATCTACTGCTTACTCCTCACAACTGACCACGTATCTACTGGTTACTCCCGACAACTGACCACGTATCTACTGCTCACTCCTCACAACTGACCATGTATCTACTGGTTACTCCTCACAACTGACCACGTATATACTGGTTGCTCCTCACAGCTGACCACGTATCTACTAGTTACTCCTCACAAGTGACCACGTATAAGCAAATAAACTGATACATTCTGTTGGAGATCACAGGTTGTAGAGAGGCTTGATCACCTTTGCCAGTCGGCATAATGAGAGTCCTAAGCATTTATTTTCATGGGCTCCCCGTGTTTGGAGCTTACAACACTAAGAAAAAGAACACGACTGCCGTAGGCGGAAAACAAATACTCAGTAAACAGCAAGATAAATCAACATCTGTCTGGCGCTAAATAAGTCAAAGCCTAAGCATAACACGAGTAAACACAACTTATTACCATAGCCAACCTGTCTGTATAAAGAAATCTGCATAAAATGTTACAATCAAATGTAGGAATGTAAAATCAGTCGATGAAATATGGGCTAGTATATTAGTATTCAAAATCAGGTTCTTCTTTCCCGTGTGGGTTCTGGGGTCACTTTTGGGGGTGGGGGAATTATACATACTACCCCCCCCCCCCCCCCCCCCCCACAGGCATAGTCTTTGAACTCACGGGCTTCTAGCATCTAGCCGCTACACACCGCAGTGACTACCACTATCAAGTAGTGCTACAAATTATAAGCTAAACACAAGGATTTGCTTATTAAAAAAAGAAAAACGCTTACCTTCATTTTACTGTTACTAGGCACAGTCAGACTCTGCAAATGCATGACTGCATCCTGATAATTTCCCTGGAAATGGTACAAAAACAAATAATTCTGTTTGTAAATGTTTAAAAAAAAAAAAAAAGACACCCTTACATACCAACTGAAGAACAATGCTTCTGAGGTCTCGGTTGGTTAGTTCCACGATAATCTCCCCACGTTACACACTAGCTCACTTCTGATTGGTCGACCTGCAGTCATCTGACCTTTGCACGCTGCTAGGGGAGTGTTCGGCAATGCCGGTGATATCTCATGTTTTATATTTAAGCACACCAGCGCTTTTAACACTAAAAAAACATTTATAAACTGGGTCTAACACACAACTCCCCTAGAGAGTGCTGCAACCTATGTCACAGGCATTCTCTTTCTTGGAAGAAAAACGTAAATGCAAGACAAGCCAGAAAGGAAACAACAACGGCAACTCGTAACCCCCTGGACAGCAAACGAGTCTAAAATTTTGGTGGGGAGATTATGGTGGAACTGACCGAGGTCTTGGGAGGCAAAGGGTAAAATTGTCTGCCAAATGCTCTGATCATTGTGGGTACTAATTTAGACTCCACTCTTCATATTTTCAGTGCAGACGCTTCAGAGATCCCTAGGGGTTACTGCTGAAGCTATGGAGTTCATACTTTGTGAAATACCCTAGCAAACAACCAGCAACTTTTTAAAAAAAAAGACTAAGCTAAATGAGATCTTTTCGTTTCAGGTTCATCGGCTGTAGACAAGTCTTTGCATGCAGCACTAGTTCACATTCTTCAACCTTTCTGTCTATGGCTGGGATTATTGTTCTGACTCTGTAGTTAGGCTGTAGGGCTATGTTGTATGCCTGGATCATTCCCCACATTGAAGGGTCTTTAGAAAAAATGTCACTGCTTTTGGTGGGGAATAACTTTGATAGATGGTGAAAGCTTTGTATTTTCAGTCAGTTTTTAGTTAAGTTTGCTATTCTGTGCATGGGGTTGTTGTTCATGCGTTTAAACTTTTCTGTTAGGGTAAGCACCTTTTCTTCTTTTTGATGGCTCAAGCTCTGGAGGTCAGAATCTGCCTCCAGCTCATTTATTGGTGTGCTTCTCGTACCTCCAGAGGTGATTCTGAAACGAGTGTTTTGTATTTTGTCGAGCTTGTTTAGATTTGATCTGGCTGCAGTGGAGTATGCTCCCATGCCATACTCCAGTTTTGGTTGTACATATCTTGTGTATATGTGTTGCACTGTGTTGGCATCTGAACCCCAGCTTTTTTCAGTAAGCTTTTTCATAAGTCTGAGCCACAGGGCAGCTTTCCTTTTGGTGTCTTCAATGCGGGAGCCCAGGTTAATCTTTTGTCAAATTTCACTCCCAAATATGTGGGGTTATCCTCTTTTGGAAGTATGTTGCCTCCTAGGTATAGATCAGCTTGTTCTAGTTTTGTGGAAAGAGAGAAGAGAGTTGAGACGGTTTTGGTCTGGTTTATTGTGACTCCCCAAGAGCCTACCGATTTCTTATCTGCATTTATATCTTCCTGTATTATTATTTTAGTTGTTCCTATATATAAGGCTTGGGTCCATATGGCCAGGTCATCTACATGTAGGACCTTGTGAATGTGAGTCATGAACTGTTTGGGGAGATCACTAACAAAATGAATAAACAGGGTAGGAGATATAACACCTCCCTGAGACACACCTTCCAATAGTCTGACCAACTTGCTTCTTCCAGTCTGACTCTCATGCAGCATCTGTAAAGAAAGTCTCTAATCCAGCCAAACATATGCCCTTTTATCCCACTGTGTGCTAGTTTAGCAAGAGTCCTTACTTATAAACTGTGTCAAAGGCTTTGGTCAGGTCAAAGAAAGTAGCTGGCATTTTGTATTTTTTCTGGAAAGCATCTTCAATTTCTTGTGCAAGTTAAGAGGTTTGGTCATCAGTGCTTCTGTATATTTTCTGAAGCCAGATTGGCTGGTTCGCAATATCTTATTTTCTTCCAGGACATTAAGTAACCTGTTGTTCACTAATCTTTCCATGATCTTTCCAAGGCAGCTTTGGAGGCTTATGGGGCGGTAACTGAATTTGTTTTCCTTAAGCTTTCCTTTCTTGGCTATAGGGATTATTAATGCTGCAATGGGGGATATTTTCACCCAGATTAGGATGGTTGGGGGGAAGACCCAAAGCTGACCTAAAACACCGAGATAGTCCAGATACTCTGATTAAACGAGAATCTTGAGATAGGTGATGACCGCTAGTTATCACGGGTACTACGGGAATGCGACTAAAGGTCGCCACGTGAAAAGTAAAGGACCACCACGTGTTGTCACGTGAAATTAACCGGTGGTATAAGTCAGACTTGACTCTGGTCAAGTTTAGTTTGTGTCGACCTGTTGGAGTGAGAGGACGTACGACTGAAAGTGAGAATGCCAACGTGAGAGTGCTTGTGGAGAAAGGAGACCCTGCCGACGAAGTGTGGAGCCGAGATCGACCATGCCAGTGTGTGAGATGGCCAGAACCTAAACGTGAATCCATGGGAGCCGACTTTGGTCAGTGAATGCTTGAAGAAGACTGCTCGCTGATGGCTGCGTGAGTTTGTGTGCGAAAGCTGTTTACTAGGACAACGACAGGACCTCTTTTCTGTAAGTGTGAATACGTCAATAAACTCATGTCTCGTAAGCTCTCATAGGTGTTGGCTTGTGCCAGTTGTGTAACGTGGAGCGTGTGAGAAGATCATCCACCACACACGCATGAACACTACCTAGACAACGAGAAGAAACACACACCACTTATTACAATGCCTCCTTCCATTTTGAAGTAGTTCTTGCATCCAGGATTGACTGATAAGGTCTAAGAGTCATTGCCTACCAGCTGGTCTCAAGTGAACAATCATTTTATATGTTACTTGATCAAGTCAAGGTGCCTTCCTTTTCTTAAGGTTTCTTAATATGCATTTAAGTTCTTGGGGACTGAAGGGTTTATTCATTATATCTTGGTTATTGTCCTGCTTTCTTATTGATTTTCCTCAGTTTTCTCTTTAATTCTCTCGCTCTAGACATGAAGATTTTGCTTTCCTCTGCAAAACTATCAGCCAGCAGGTTTGCTGCTTGTTTACCAATGAAAGTTTTCCCACCATCTTCAATGACAGTGTGGGCACGGCTGGAATTATTCTCCTCATTGAGACTCTTTACTAGATGCCATAGCTTTTTACTATCTTTCTCCATGTTGACAGCTGCAGTCTGTTCCTGCCATCTTTCCTTGATGCATGCGTGTTTTTCTCCTCCATAAATAGCCTGATATTTGTTGTGTTCTGTTACGAGGAGATCTGAGAGAACTAGTTCCATTTGTATACTTGCTTCTGCACTTTTTTTCATGTAGCTGTTGCAGTTCTTGGGTCCAGAAGGGTTCATAGTTTTGTCTTGGGCCTAGGGGGAATCAACTTCTGCACTGCTTTGAGAATGATATTAGTAAGGGTTATAGTGTTTTTACTACCATCATTGGTTGGAAAGAGGGTGGGGGGGGGGGGGGGGGAATAACAGAAGACACAGTACCAGGAAAGAGGGGCAAGGGCTAACCATCACAAAGATGGGTAGAGGATATAAGTGACACGTTGAGTAGGAAAAAGTTCACAAGGCAGGACAGCTGGTGCCAAGAGACTGAGTTTCTTTCAGGAAAGCTGTAATGACAGTGACATTCTGCAAAGGACTTGTTACATGGTGATAACCATTCTATGATGAAAGGCTAAGGTAAACTAAAACAAACCTGATATATACACATGTCAGTCTGAAAGTAACTCAGCATAGACTGGGTCTCCTTCCGCCAGTTCTGACACAGGTGGTAGAATTCTGCAAGGTAAATGTTATTCACAAGTTCAAATGTACAATCCTCAATTTATTAGGAAAGAAAAAGAGAACGCATCAAGAAATGAGTGGGTAATGTGAAATTAGTCATGCAACATCACTTTTTGCCCGAGACTGAAAAGGTTAATACATTTTTATTCTTCCTCAAGACTCTTCTTCTTCATAGAAGCCCCCGGCTGTAGAAGACCGCAGAGGAGAATTCTGGTTATTCGTTACTTCTGGACCTTGGTCCTGTTCCAGAACTTTTGCACGCACATCCAGATCTGGCTTTTTTGTATGCAGACTGTTAATTCCTCAACTCTCAAGTAAATGCACTCCAACTACAAAGGATACATCCATAATTAGCTGCCATCTATGACATGCTTGTTAAGGGGCGCTGGGTCTATTCTGACTCTTCAACCCTTCCACATAGCACCCTGGAATCCTCAGGAGGAGCCTCTAGACTAAGTAACTCAATGGTCCATATTCATTAGCCGTCTTTGCTTCCCAAAACATTTGCTGGAAGCACACTTTAAAAAAAATTCAACAACCCTTCCTATGCCAGCCATGCATCAGATATATGGTGCTAGATATATTTTCTATAGACTAACTGACCCACTAGACTGCCAGAATATTTATGTGTGCTAATATTTGTTTCAGATCACATACCCCCTGTGATGCGTCTCCACTTTGGTGTTGCAGAGGGATTTTATGTGTTTCAGATCACATACCCCCTGTGATGCATCTCCACTTTGGTGTTGCAGAGGGATTTTGTGTGTTCAGCGACTTCAAGAACTATGCTGATGGTAGCTCAGCTACTGGTGGGCTCTCTAATGCTGGACCAGTTATGGGACAGAAGCCAGAAGAAGAGGTCTCAATCAAAGGCTAAGGAAGTAAAAAGTAGACGACCCTTTCCACACCTTTAGCATATTCTGCATATGCTGCTAGACTCATGTTTGTAAAGACCAACTGATGGGTGATGTAGTCAACATCCTGCCAGGCTGCCTTTACTTCCCAGGACAGTGTGAGGTACCCATTTTAGGCGGGGTTGACGTGGGTGCCAAAGTAATTTTGGGTACTTAATTTATAACTTACCCCTGACGTCACGACTACGTCACGGGAGACAATCCCAATAAATTCTAGGGTTTTCAGGTTGTAGTTTCTCGCGATTTATCTACAGTCAAGTTTAGGGTTAGGGTTAGGATTAGAATACACTAGATTATCCTAAAAAAAACACCAAACAACAGCACACTTGCACCCCTTGAAATAATGGACTGTCACGTCAGCTGTGGATTTCCCACGGGGATTTCGTGTTTGGGGTACGTTTTAAATTAAGAACCTAATTTTGTTTTCCAAATCTACCAGGTGCAGTAAATCACCCAGACCATCTGCCTACTTCCTGCTGAATCAGTTTTTTTCAAGGTACAGATATTTTGTTGAAATAATTGCACTGTTGATTTGATTTCAGAGAGCCTTAACCACATCCACTTGATGATAAAATAGCTCAACACCCCACAGAAGTGGCAGCAGCCAATATATCAACTCCTCATTAACCCCCACACCAGAATATCCTGCTACAAAGACAAGCAAGCAACACCACAACACATGAAAGGACCTGATAGAGACAAACAAGAATATTGTACCAAACTTCTCTCCTCTGTAGAATTGAGAATCTCACAACAAACGGAAGGACCTGATAGATACAGACAAGAGTACAGTACCAAACTTCATCTCCTCTGTAGAATTGAGAATCTCACAACAAACGGAAGACCTGACAAACACAAACAACAGTACTGTACCAAAGTTCATCTCCTCTGTAGAATTGAGAATCTCATAACAAATGGAAGGACCTGATAGACACAAACAAGAGTACTGTACCAAACTTCATCTCCTCTGTAGAACTGAGAATCTCACAACAAACAGAAGGACCTGACAAAGACAAACAACAGTACTGTACCAAAGTTCATCTCCTCTGTAGAATTGAGGATCTCATAACAAACGGAAGGACCTGATAGACACAGACAAAAGTACTGTACCAAACTTCATCTCTTCTGTAGAATTGAGAATCTCAAAACATTTGACAGCCAACTCGAATGCCTGGAGCATGGCTGTAGGGGAGGCAATCCCACTGGAACAATGTATTGTTGGAGCTGAGACGTCTAGTTTTTGTTTCTTTGACCGTGAACTGTGAAATACATACAATAATCATCTATGTTAACTCATTTATCTAGTATTTTGCACATGCTGAAAAGTTAGTCTCCACATGATAAAATAGTAACAAATTAAAATCATATAAGTTGAACAGTAACTTTTCACAAAATAGTATCATATACGTTGAACGTATCTTTTCACAAAATAAAATCCTATATGTTGAACTATAAATTTTCACAAAATAAAATCACATATGCTGAACATATCTTCTCACCAAAAAAAAAATCATATATGTTGAACAGTAACTTTTCACAAAATAAAATCATATATGATAAAGTGTAACTTTTCACACACACACAAAATCACATATATTGAACAGTTATTCTTTACATTATCCAATCATTTATGCTGAATGACAACTCCTGATATGATAAAATCACATAAACTGATTTTTTTATTTTAATAAAATCATTTTCTGCCAAATATGAACTCCCAATGAGCCTTTTCAATTGTCTATGTTTACCTTTGAAACAGCGGTTGGTGCGATGTGCTGTGGTTTAAAGCAAGGCTGCAATATCTGCATTTTTTTGAGCCTCAAAAAATCTGATTTCAGCAACCCCTAACTAGTCACCCCCCCCTCCCAGGCTCCCTTAAACCGGAGCCTTAAAACCAATCCTGGGGAGGTGACAAGTAAAAAATTGTTATTTTTAATACATACACATTGCAATAATCTGCTAGGTAAACAGGTCACCACTTACGGAACAGATGCGCCAGCCCTGGAGCAGTTGAAAACCTCCAGTAGAACAACAGGTACAGAAGGTACTGGGTGATTTGTGGTTACTGTAAAACAGAACGTAAATGTGAATTATACTAGAGCTAACATAACATACATACTTGGCTTCAAGATCTGGAGGAACATTTCTTTATAGTTTTACCATAGTTTTATACACACACACACACACACACAAAACAAAACAATATCTTCGCAAGGTGAATTTAAACAAAGTGGATACACATATACATCCATTCAAGAAAAACAAAAAACAAAAAAAAAAATCGAACCATTTTCAACCTACTGTGAGCAGTACTGGTTATAAATGTGGTCTGCTTTTTTTGTGACCAATTATGCTGGCTAAGAAACGTTAATTGCACCAAAACTAGTAGCTTGGATCGGTACTCTAGTACCTAGTTAGGGTTGCTGGAATACATTGTACTATTTATAAGCCAGGCAATAAATTGTGCAATGTATTGTTTGTGTCCGACTGGTTGGTAAAAATAAAAGGTTTGTCATAGTGGCACCATTCATTGCTTGCATCATTCAGTAGTCTTTTAGGTCACTACAGCATCAACCTAGTCACTTTTGTTCAGTGGTTTACAAATCCTGACAGCTGTGAAATTCGTGATGTCATTTGTTTTCTTTCTTTGAGCAGAAGGTCAAAATCCCACCAAGATTCATCCTTAATTGTGTTAGGTTTCTGGTGAAAATGTTATGAGGGACCGTTCTGCGAGTGATTAGCAGGAAATTCAGAGACGGGCCTAAAGATGTCTTCTTCTTCTTCGTTCAGTGTACATACACTCTGGCGGAAAGTTCTGGTTGATCGTCCACTACTGAACTGCAGTCCCGAGATGGGTTGCGTCAACAGATTCTCTTGAATACAGACTGTTGGTTCCTTGCCTCTCCGATGGACTGGAGCTCCCCAATAGTCGACTCTTACGACATGCTTTTGGGGAGGCATTCTTGTTTTCCCCACAATATGATGTGAATGATGAGGGTGACAGATGAGCTCATTTAATTAAGTCGACCAAGTCGTAGTGGAAAAGCGCTGTTTCACAATTTCAGATCTTCTTACAGAATTTCCACAAATATCTAGGACTAGTCTGTTTAAAAATGTCACAGAGAGGTTAGGTTATCACAAATTCTGTTCATGGTAGTACCAAAGCAACTGACTGTTGTTCACAGAGTTTAAAGACTGGGCTCAGTTTTGACGTTGCTTCTGCCTCCGGGGAACATGACATACTGTGGCACAGTGGCAAGTATTGTTACCTGCTAGCCTCGTTGTCTTAGGCTTTTCTAAAATGTTAAAATAATTGGCTTGCCTGTGGTGCTGATGCGGCTGATTAAGTTAACAATGGAATCAACAAACAACACTGTTATGTCTAATATGCTTCCAGGAAATGGTCAAATTTACTTTACAACACAAATGTAACCAAAGAAATCAAATAATAAACGGGCTTGCCTGTTGATGGTGAGTCATTGCCAATTTAGCTGAAAAAGTTAATGGAATAAACAAACAGCACCACATGTTAAATACGACTCAGGGCACGGAAATTGGTTTTTCATTTTACATTACAAGAAAAACAGTAACTATGGAAGACAATCAATGGACTTGCCTGTTGATGACGAGTCAGTGCCAATAAAGCTGACATAGTTAACCATGGAATAAACAAAGAGCACCATAGCTGTATGGAGGATCTGTTTGTTGTTGATCTCCGCCCCTGTCACCTTGGCTCTCATCAGCTGATGCTGCAGGGCCTGGATCTGGTACTCTCTGCAAGAGGCTTATTTTTTATAGGGAACTGCATAGAGTCAATGCCGTGTGGGGCTGGTAGTCATGTCTATCAACAACCTTCTGTCTCGTGTACTTTCAATCAACTCTGCAGAGATGATCCTACATGCCGTGTGGGGCTGGTAGTCATGTCTATCAACAACCTTCTGTCTCGTGTACTTTCAATCAACTCTGCAGAGATGATCCTACATGCCGTGTGGGGCTGGTAGTCATGTCTATCAACAACCTTCTGTCTCGTGTACTTTCAATCAACTCTGCAGAGATGATCCTCCATGCCATGTGGGGCTGGTAGTCATGTCTATCAACAACCTTCTGTCTCGTGTACTTTTAATCAACTCTGCAGAGATGATCCTCCATGCCGTGTGGGGCTGGTAGTCATGTCTATCAACAACCTTCTGTCTCGTGTACTTTCAATCAACTCTGCAGAGATGATCCTCCATGCCATGATATCAAACTGCCCAGTATCCTTTCTCTCGGTCTCTCTCTGCCTTTCCTTCACTCCCCTCCAACTTTCCTACTGTTATGATGTTCTCCACTTTTCTCTTTCTCACCACAGGACTAAAGAATGTAGATCGTCTCTTTCTGATGTGGGCAATCAGTTCTCTCCGTGAGTCAGTTTCTTTCAAGATATCCTCATTATTCTTTTTATCTGTCCAGGGTATTCTCATCATTTGTTTACAAAACCACACCATCTGTCCATTATTCACTTCCATGTATCAAGACAGGATTTATATCGCTTTTAAGAATTATCTTTCTCATCCATCATAAGGAGCTACAAGAAAAAAGTCTAGCTGTCATTCGGGCAATTCATAGCTATATGTTCCACATGTGGGTTCGAGAGCCCATTCATGGGGGTGAAAGAAGAGATAAATCCACTGCAACATTTCAAACTTTTGATCGCACATAAAATCCCATAAAACGTCTAGCATGGGATTGGAGGTGGAGGCAGCAACATCAGCTTTTTTAATGGCTAGAGATCAGTACAGTTCAACATGTTGTTACTGTAATTGACACAGAGAATGCTTCAGAAAATTAAAACAGGTCTTGGAAGAGTGGCGTGGCTTTCACCGCTGGATAAGACTCATAAGGGAACACAACATTGGTTTTCTTCCTAGGATATTCCTGAGTGCTGGGCAATGATCAAGCTGAAAGAGTGGCACCATCCCTCCTCTGAACAGTGAGCTACTTTATGATAAAGCAGTGAAGGCTCTTCTGGGATCAAGAAAATAGGGCAACAGAACAGTGTATCCACACCTCAAGAGACAGCAGAGGATCTGAACAGTTTCCAACATGGAGGGGAAAAAGACACCCGTGCTTTTAATCAACTGGCACCATTAGTATGGAAACTTCGCTGGCTATCGACGAAGGGGAGACAGAGCACATGAGGTAACGCACCAAGTGCAATGATGTCAATTCTTGATTCTTTTATTTTCTTTAACACCAAAAGAATGAGGAATTAATCAAGACTGACATCACTTGCACTCAGGACATTCCAATAAGTGCTCAGTCTCCTTCCTTAGAAGCTAACAAAGAGTCAACTAGCTAACAAAACCACTCTCAGCCTGAATAAATGTCTACCTATGTTTCCCTATTAGTGTTGAATATCTTATTCAAAACTAAAAATCACTCCGCAATGCACTCCCACACAACTAAAAACAACTTTATCACATTTATACTCTCAGAAAAATAAAAATCACTCTACCACACAATCCCATACAACTAAAAATGACTTGACCGCACACTCCTATACAACTAAAAATGACTTGACCACACACACACCCACACATCTAAAAATCAATCCAGCACACCCTCTCATACATTTAAAAATCACTTGACCACAAACTCCCATACAACTAAAAATCACTTGACAACACACTCCCATATAATTAAAAATCACTTGACAACACACTCCCATACAACTAAAAATCACTTGACCACACAATCCCATACAACTAAAAATCACTTGACAACACACTCCCATACAACTAAAAATCACTTGACAACACACTCCCATACAACTAAAAATCACTCGACCACACACTCCCATACAACTAAAAATCACTTGACAACACACTCCCATACAACTAAAAATCACTCGACCACACACTCCCATACAACTAAAAATCACTTGAACACACACTCTCATACAACTAAAAATCACTTGACAACACACTCCCATACAACTAAAAATCACGCCAGCACACACTCCTATACAACTAAAAAATCACGCCAGCACACACTCCCATACAACTAAAAATCACTTGACAACACACTCCCATACAACTAAAAATCACGCCAGCACACACTCCTATACAACTAAAAAATCACGCCAGCACACACTCCCATACAACTAAAAATCAACAACACACTCCCATACAACTAAAAATCACGCCAGCACACACTCCTATACAACTAAAAAATCACGCCAGCACACACTCCCATACAACTAAAAAATCACGCCAGCACACACTCCCATACAACTACAAATGACTTGACCGCACACTCCCATACAACTACAAATCACTAGACCACACACTCCCATACAACTACAAATCACTTGAGAACACACTCCCATACAACTACAAATCACTTGAGAACACACTCCCATACAACTACAAATCACTAGACCACAGTCCCATGCTTCTAAAAATCACTCGACCACCCACAGAACTAACATCCCATGAACACCTTACTTGTTTTTCATCACCAGATCACGCTCCATGTCCCAGTTCAGCCGTTGTCCAATCAAAATGAGTAGTCTGAAGAGATTTCCCCAAGGATCTGCCACCTGGAGATCCATCTCCGGAAACCCACCACCCACACGGCCAATCTTCAGGCTTAATTTGGTGCTTTCTGTCAGAGGTTTGTGGCAAATACAACAAAGCTGAGTGTACCAAAACGGAAGTGTCATTTTTGTAACTTCTTAGAGTGACAGGGTTAATAAATGTTTACGGCAGATGTATATAAAAAAAATTATGTATAATAGTAAAAGATAAAAGCAAATAGTAAAAGAAAACAGCAACATTTCATAAGATCAATGATATGCTATTGAATATATCTTTGTAAACAAAACAAAAAAAGGTGACAAAGAGTTTTTAAGAGCTCCTTTCTTCTTCTTTTAGTCCATGCCCTGTGGTGTTGGTAGTCATGTTTATCGGCAACCTACTGTCTCATGCACTTTCAATCCATTCTGACACAGATGACCTTCCATGCGATGATGCCAAACTGTCCAGCAACTTCTCTCTCTCTCTCTCTCTTATTCTGCCTCTTTTCCCCTCCAACTTTCCCACCATTGAGAATTACTTGAGTTTTCTCTTTATGTGACATGATCAAATAATGAAGATTATCAAGGAAAGTTCCGACTGCACCTTTTTCTTCTTCTCGTTCACCGGCTGTAAACGCTAGTCCTAAAGTTCTGGTTTATGGACTACTCTGGTTTTGTTTCAGAGCTTGAAGTTTACGCACACCTGTTTCACAAATACAGCTTATTTGTATGCAGACTGTTGGTTCCTTGCTTGTCAGGCAGATGTACTCTATCTTCAGATGAAACACCCCTAATTATCATCCGAAGAACATTTCAACACATCCACATATCCAATGGAAGAATAACAATTTTCGATAATTCGAGGCACTGAACGCTTCAAAGACATAGTTAATAACAGTTAACTCTTCACAACAACCTATTTCGATATACGTAACTAGAAAGCACGTAAACATCAGTTTCTCTATTCATTTGACTCCGAAAAACTTCTGTTTGCCCCACGTTGCACAGCTGATCCGAAGCTGCCATTAAGCCTGCCAAGCTGGAGAAGGCACTGATCCAGGCCACTGGGTTGATATGTGAATTGAATAACTATAAAATATTAGAAGAAGAAAAGGTGACAAGAAATAAATCAAATAAATAAGGGTACAAAAACAGTAAAATAAAAAAACTAATAATTAAACAAATTAATAAGAGTCATGAACATAGCTATATGCAGTCACCCCAGTTTTGATCACTCACCTGTATCAGTGGTGTGGTCATGCGTGTTTGGCTGGGACACATAACTGAGGTGGAACTCAATAGCTTTCTGTAGCAAGTGGAACATGTTGAACTCCAGGTGACCTCCCTTGTGCAACACCATTGGCATGACATCACAGACTGCAAACAGCCAAAGTTACCTTTAACTCTTTATTAACCAACACTTTTAACTTGTACCACTGCTCCAAAATCAAAATAAAATTTTAAAAAGCTGCTTTTCCAATTCGATGTCAGACATGTTTATGAGATACCCAGCTAACAAGAACCACTGCATCTGCATAAACATTCAGGATGACATGTGATGATTTGATTTACTACAAAATAGCACTATGGTGGTGGTGGTGGTGGTGGTGGGGGAGGTTTAAAGACAATGGCCTATCTGATAGAAATTTCTAGGTCATATTTTCCCCATTGGCTACAGTGGTTACCAGATGACCAGGTCAGAGAGTCATGTGTCATGGTAAAATAAGTTAATAGGCTTCAAGAGATGCAAGCCAGCTGAATGTTGTGTTTTGGGTGATAAACTGATATTACTACTTGGAAGGGGGGAAAGGAGGGGGGGGGAGACATTATGTAAAAATGGTTTCTATAAAGTTTATCCCGGGAATTTCCAAAAAATAGAAATGACAGGAGCTTGGCTTTTTTTTTTTTGGTCACTGGAATGAAAGATTTAAGATTAGAGTGTCTTACCAAGATTGTCGGCATCTGTGTCCTAGGATTCTGAATGTAGTTTCATAATTCAAACATACCCCCAGTTTGAAGTCAGCTGCAAATTATGGTGGCGTGAAGATTTCAGTCACAGGCATGAGAGAAAGTTAAGGCCGTTGCGATATGTATAACTTCCTACTCCAGTAACACTAGCTGAATTGACAAGCATGCATCACCAAGTTAGTTGCATATCTTTTACAGGAAGTTGTGGAACCAATCCCAGTATTTTTAGGCTGTTGCAGCTTTTCTAGGCGCATTTTACGTTCAGTAGTTTGCCATTGTTTCTGAGCGGTCAGCTCTCGGTACCAGTGTAAAAGCCAACACAAGACATACTGTCCGCAGCAGGTATCGAACCCGGCACCGCGGCATTACGAAGCGCGTTCGCAACGCCTAAGCCACAGACGCCAACCATGCATCACCAAACAGACCTTAACTCACCGATAAATTTTTTTTGGCTTAACCCCTTTACCAAATTTTTTTTTTTAATGAATGCAGAATGCTGCTCCTCTTTGGTGCATGTCAAAAGTGGAGCAGCCATCTTTAAACTGTCATTACCACATCACTGTGTTAATATGCACCAAGATATCACACGATTAGCACTCTTGACAACTTCAACAATGTTACTGACAGGTTTCAAGATGATAGCTATTGTAATTTCTATCACACTTCGAAGGTTTTCACTTGAAACTTTCATCTTATCTCACCCTTGTGCAGTGTTGACTAGAAGCATAAACAACAATAAAGTGCCCGTTTGTGTGCTTCATATATAAGGTTTCCAGGGACCATAATTTCTTATTTACTCTTTGAGTCCTAAGGAACGCATCATACGTCCACATTTACTGCCTTGAAGCCCAAAGAACGCACGATACGCCGATTTTACGTCTCTCTTGACTACCCCTTGGGCCTGTGATGCTGAACCTTCTGGGACTCAAAGAGTTAAGATCTCCATTCCCATTTAGGACACAATTTTTTCGTTATTTTGAATACAACTCAACCTATGGGTTGAATTGGGTTTCTCTGACCTCTCCACAGATGATCCTCATCTGCATGGTGGCACATTGTGTCACTGGGTGTTTATCGCTTGGTGTGGTGTCCTAGTAGGGTCAAATATCAATCAATCATTGTCCTTTCTTATGTTCACTGCTTAAACTGTCTCTGTATGTCTGTATATAAGTGTGTATGTGTATGTATGAGAATGTTAGAGTATGGGTACATGTGTGTGTGTGATTGAGTGTGTATGATTGTTTATAAATGATGTGTGTATGCATTATTCTATGTATACTAATGTATATTTTTATTATTTTTAACATAACATGCATTATTGATTACAGGCATTGGTACTCTGAAATATGAGTGCTCAGAAGGGCCGAATGTCAGACGGGCCTGCATGCCCAATTTATAACCCTTTAAAAAAAAGTCTGTTTGTTCGTTCTATTTCCACTTCCATTTGGTCTAAACATTACTGATCATTGTAATATATTGCCAGTTGGCAGGTCAGTTAAACAGCCAAAATCTTTCCCTTGTTTTCTCATGAAATTTAGAATGGCCACCACCTCTACTTTCTTTCCAGTCTAATTAAACTTCCTTCAATTTTTTTTTGGCAGTAGAATAATTACTGTACTTTAATCTACATTATGATTTGACTCCAATCTTAAGAAGAAAATTGTACTTACCAAGGAGTTTCCTGTAACAGTTAACTGGATTGTTAACGATGCCAGATTTTGTTTCCTCTTTAAGCAACATTTCTACAAGCTTTAACTGGGGAATGAAAGTTTGGGCATAAACGACAAACGACAAATTAAAATACAATTCTGAGTAAAACTTCAAGAAATTCAATTACTTTTCCCTTTTCAAGATTATCTGATTCGATTCAAGAACCGAAATCACAGCACTCGAGGCATTCACATAAGCGCTCCGCCCACATCTTCAGCAGTCAGCCAAGAGTCCCGATAATAATGGTGCCAGTAGGATACTGATTAAACATCCGTCTTTCCTTTCCTCTGAGCCTCGAGCATCTGCCAGAACTTCTCGTCACTCCCCCCTGCATCAATCTCATCAGACTGTGGTGATCCATCTGCTCCTCTGAACTGTACACGCTCTCCCGCAAGGCACTAACCACGATTATCTTTTAACCCTTATAATCAAGATTATCTGGAATGACCAAGAGTTGAAAACAGCAATTTTTTTTTGTTATTTGGAGGCACAGGAGTATGAGATGAGTTACAAAACAGAGATCATCATTGACTGTTAATATAATCATTAATAGAAGAAGGATGAGGTCAACGATATACACACACAAATCAATGTGTTATATGCGGTTGTCAGAAAAACTAATGGACAAAGCAAACTGCAGTGCTGTAATACATACACACAATACACTGTACCACAAGTGGTCCCAAGCTTGTGGTAAAAGTGAACTAATAAGCAGTTTGTGTTTTTTCAAAGTCGGAATGCATCTGCCAAAGAGGTGTGGAAGTAACAGTCCACGAACAAATAAGTTAGATCTGTAAAACAGATGTGCAAAACTCAAGTTCTGGAACAAATTCAAAGTTTAGAAGTGGATGAACAACCAGAACTTTCTGCTGAAGTTTACAGCCCATGAATACAAGAAGAAGCAACCTTATGAGTGGTTATAAGAAAGATTATTAGTCTATGCAAGCTGCAGTACTTGGGTGCAAACTTGAACTGCTCAAACATGATGAGAGAAGAAATACTCTCTAGAATACAATCTGGAAATAAAGTATACTATGCCCTGCTAAAGTCAGTGTCTGTCTCGCAGCACCAAGATCAAAATACATAAAATGTTGATAAGACCAGTCGTTTTATATGACTCTGAAACTTGGAGCACAACTAAAAGAGAAGAAGCCTTATTACAGGTTTTCGAAAACAGAGTCTTATGACAAATCTTTGGACCCAACAAAGGTGTTAACAGCTGGGAATAGAAAGTGAGAAGCAATAACGAAATTCATAATCTGTTTAAATCACCATTGATCACTGGCATCATGAGAGCTAATAGACTGAAATGGTTGGGACATATTTAAAGAATGTCAGATGACAGAGAGGTAAAAACTATAGACACCTGAGAGAGGAATGGGCGTAGACCACAAGGCAGACCAAGAAGAAGATGGAGAGATAATGTCCAGACAGACCTGCAAACATTTGGTGTCACTAACTGGAAAGAGAAGGTCAACCAGAGAGATGAATGGAGGCAGGTGATATCTGCAGCAATGAACCTCAAGGGCTCGGAATGCTGAAGAAGAAGAAGAAGCTGCAGTGCTAAATATACATACCCCATGCTCTTGAACAAGGTTAGGGAACTTTTTCATGGCCAGCAGTAGAAGCTGACATCGGTCTAATACATCAGGGATGGACTCGGACACATGCAGCACCATCAGACATTGGGTAGATGTTGGGATGGCAGCAAATAAGTCTGCAATATAAGATATGTCTGCAAGATACGGTAAATATGCAAGAAAAGAGAAATATCCAGGATAAGACAAGACTGCAAGGTAAGATAATTGTGCAAGATAAAATGTCTACAAGATAAGATATGTCTGCAAGATAAGATATGTATGCAAGATAAGACATGTCTGCAAGATAAGGTAAATATGCAAGATCAAAGAAATATGCAAGATGAGACAAGACTGCAAAGTAAGATAATTGTGCAAGATAAAACACAAATGTAAGATAAGAGAAATGTTTAAAAAAAAACAAGACAAGTCTGCAAGATAAGAGAAATCAGGAAGAAATAAAGACAATTCTACAAGATAAAAGAAAACTGGAAGAAATGAGACAAGTCTGGAAAATATAATATGTCTGCAAGAAATAAGTCACGTCTGCAAGATAAAACAAACACATAGAAAAAAACTCGCTTTAGGACAATGGGAGGAGACTGTCCAAGTGGGACGTAACCATCTTTCGACTACACCATCCGTGAGGTTAGGGTCATGTCTGTAGAACAATAGTGGATGTTCAGAGAAAACTGTTCTGCTGAGAGGGTCAGCCCTGGGATGGAGACTTGACTTGACTTGCATTAAAAAAAAAAAATTGTCACATTCAACCAGCATTCCTCAAAGGGAAAAGCTTTTGGTTATAATTGTGAGTAGGCTTATGTGTGCCATTAATAGAGACAGACCCAAATACTGTCCTGACCAACGACAAAGCCATCCATCAACCAGTCAATGGGCGATCCGGTCGCCGATGGACTTTATTCAAATTATCTCATTAATGATAAAAGAACATTTCGGCCAGAAAGCCTTCATCAGCATATAACTAAAGGGACAATGATATTTGATGGACCAATTTTTTTTTTAAAGACCAGTTGGCCCTTGATAACTGTGAGCTGTGTTGTGGCATTCGATATGGCCTTTAGTCGGTTTATGTGTCAGCAGGTGAAACACCTTAGATAATAATTCTACGTGTTTATAGCCAACTTTGATGAGGGATATGTCCAATGTATGCCTCAGTTAGCTGACACAAAAATAATCAATACTAGTGAAAAGGCCATTTTCTTCTGGGTCAGTTAGTTGTAGTGCTATTCAACGTATCATTTAGGAAAGTAGCTACTAAATTACAGGCAAATTGAGTGTTAAATAAACTTTGTTTTGTGTGAAGATACTAACCATTTGGAAAGTCAGTTTTCTTTATCAAATAATGGGGCTGTGTTATGATGCTTCAAAAGATTCTCTGGAACATTATCTAATGTACAGATTTATTTTATTTTTTACTTAAACATTACTTAGTGGTTCATATTCATTTGTGATATAGTCTGCATATATTTTAGCAAGTTTTCCTTGAGTGGCATTTACACAGACCTTCAACATATAAAAGAGAAAATGTACGTTAACATATACCTGTTAGGAATGAAACCTTCTGATCTTGTGGTTCTTTCTGCAGGGACTCCAAGATGCTGTGAACTTCGGACCAAAGCACGGGCTCATGGGGGAAATTTTGAAGCCTAGGACAAAATGAGAGGCAAGTTATTTAAAGTAAATAGAATTTTGGGAGGTGGCGGGAAGAGGTGGATGTTTGGGAAGAAAAGGCAAGCTCAGTTCTGCCATGCAGCAACCACTTCAAGGTACCTCTAGTCTCTTGTGCTGTGGTTCACAGCTAGGCTGTGTGAAATCTTGGGCCTTTCGACCCAACACATCCGATTTAAGCAAAACTTTCTGCAACATGCAGCATGCATTCCGTTTTCTTCTCCCAAAAGTACAGCCCCAGAACTCAAGTGATGCACTGAGTCCACTGCATTTCTCAACTTCCTTGTTTACTGTGCATATGGACCAGCAGTAAACAACAGAACTCACAATGCCTTCAGAGACAAACAGGATAGGGTAAACAAATCTCACACTCTTCTACGACAGGAATCCACTATTTTCAGTGATGTTTATTATCGAGGTAACACACATACAGTCCACCTGTCTCCAGTCTCTAACAATGTGTGGAAAAGTCTGTCACACCCTGTACTGAACACTTATTTGCAATCACTCCTTTCATAAGCAGAAGTGGGAGATATCATCTGCTTGACTGCAAAACATGCATCAAGCATATCCTTCAGACACCATTGCCACACATCTTTTAGGCCTCTCAAACAAACCACTGTCGATTCCCTGTGCACTGCTTCATTCAGTTCAGTCTAGTCAGTCAGCCGGTCGAGAAAGACAGAGAGAGAGACAGACACATGCACGCATGCATACACACAGCTGGTCGAGTCATTCGAGGTCTCGCTCACAATAGAATCCCTGAGTAAGTTTTTATCTAATTATATCTTTTCTTACTGTGCACATGCATTCACAAACATCAGGTGTTTGGTTCATATTACTCACACCTAATTTCTATTAGCCCCCCCTTCCTCTTTCTTACAGAGCCGATAACAAACTGCAGAACTCGCTTTTGTTTAATACAGTCACTTTACATTGGATTCATTGACGCTGAAAAAGCTCTTAACAGCACTGATAGGGAATCTCTCTGGACAGCACTATGGAATCCCAAAGAAAATTATTAACTTAGTAAAGACAACATAAAGACATGAAATGTCAAGTTCTTCATGAGGGAAAGCTAACAGATACATTTGAAGTACAAACAGACTTTGTGTCTGTGCTTTCTCATCTGGTCTATTATTTAAGTAAATTGGGTTTCCCTCTGACCTATAAAAAGGAGCCACTACATATTAGGAGATCATATCTTTAAGTTGTACAACAAATTATTAAACTGAAATAGACGAAACATACATGTCTTGGAGGTTTCTAGCAGCTTCATCCACATTTTTAGCTGTTTTCTCCACTAAATATGATTCAAACTGAAAGAAAAAACAAAAAACATTAAGCAATTAAATTAAGTACAGTCTGAATATTAATGGATGTAGAATAATGAAGAAATAAAAGGTAGATTACAAAGTGTATTCATAACTAACCTTGGCCCAACACTGACCAGACAGTCAGATTACGTATAATAATAGAGCACATCCCTAAAGTGAAATCACCACTTTACACTGGATTCATTGACCCTGAAAAAGCTTTTAACAGCACTGATAGGGAATCTCTCTTGAAATTGATGAGGCACCTTGGAATTCCGCAGAAAATTATTATCTAAGTAAAGTCAACACACAAAGTCATGAAATGTCAAGTTCTTTATGAAGGAAAGCTAACAGATACATTTGAAATAAAAACATGTATGTGACAGGGATGTCTTCTGTCACTTCTCCTATTTTTACTGGCAATAGACTGGATTATGAAAACAGTAACTGCTAACACCAAGAACGGAATTCAGTGGACCCCTACAAAACAGCTCGATGATTTGGACTTCGCTGATGATATTTCTCTTTAGTCCCATTTACGCAAGATGAATTAAATATACCTGAAGCAAGATCACAAAAGCCAGGTCTAAAAATCTATAAGGGAAAGACAAAGATAATGAGAATAAATCAGGCAAATAGTAATGTAGTTTCTCTCAATGGTAGTTAACATTGCTGAGGCACAAACAGATCATTATGGTCTGAGGAGAATGGCGCTGCGAGGAGTTACCAGGGGATCTGGCCGACGCTCAACATTCGAGGAAAGGGCACTGCAGCAGAGAAAGTATCAAACTCGCTATGGAACATGCGCAACGATGTGTCAGGGTGATCTCAGCAGATCGTTCCAGATGTCTGTACACACAACGTTAGTCTCCCCACACCCCGCCCATATACACACTAGCTAACTTCTAATTGGTAGTTTCTTATTCTGTCACCTTGGCACAAGGTTACAGGGGTGTTCCAGAAGGCCTTTGATATCGTGTGTTGTATATTTCAGCACACCAGCGCTTTTTAACACTCCAAAAACATGGAGAAACTGGTCCTAACACAAACCCCCTACAGAGTGCTGCAACATAGGTCACAGGCATTCTCTTTCTCTTGAATAAAAACATAAATGCAAGACAATGCAGAAAGCAAACAATAAAGTGGCACACACCCATAACCTTCAGGAAAGTCAACCAGCCCAGCAAACTTGTAAATAAAAAGTGATCTATACTCTATTTGGGGAGAAAAACATTACTTTAACCCAGATCTCTTCTTACGGCAGAACACTAAGCAATTATACTCTCATATTCCGAATCATTTAAATCAGTACACACAGTATGATGAACCAACCATCTTCTAAAGGGCTTTATGTAGTGATGATCATAAACTCGGGGTGTGTCTAAGTCTTGTCAACAGTGTATACTATACCAGCCATGCTTAAAAATTGGCAAATCAAGCCTGCACAACAGGAGACCGAAACCCGGGAGTCAGGCCTAGGTTGGCCCGCTCCCTGAAAGTCTCAGGAAGGTAATGGGGTCGGAAACATATGCCAAAGGGGAATCTGCTGTGTTCGCTCCTCCCTCCGTGGATTTGCTATACTACCACTAGTAAAGTATTACACTATCACTTGCAATTGAAACAGTACACATTTGCAGAATATCATGGACGAAAAAGAGGAGAAATACTGACATCTTGAAAGATCTGAACATCAAGGAAGATTGGCTAATAAGCAGCATCCTGTCTAAGAAGCTGAAATATTTTGGTCATATTCATATTCGGCTATCCTCCGAACTTCCGGCACTAAAGATGGCGGCCACAAAATATCCTTTCGAGCCACAGTCACGTGTCAATTGCGCACTTCCGCCGGCTTAATTTGCGGTTCTCCAGCGACTACCGCCACGAGTCCCCCATGCGGCGTGGATTGGGGCTAAACTAGATGGCTAGGAGCCACGAGCAGCAGCTTCCTCATCTCCTAAAGCTTTGCTCGTGAGTCCTAGCAATCTAGTTTAGCCCCAATCCACGCCGCATGGGGGACTCGTGGCGGTAGTTGCTGGAGAACCGCAAATTAAGTCACGTGACTGTGGCTTGAAAGGATATTTTGCAACCGCCATCTTCAATGCCTGAAGTTCGGAGGATAGCCTCATATTCATTTCAATATAAAGTGGTTACTTTAGTCAAAATTTTAAAATGCCCTCTACACAAATAAAACCAGCACAGTTAGATAGCTGTAAACAATCTCTTTCCAACAGTACCTCATTTAGGCTTGTGTGTCATTTCTGAGCTGAGATATGTAGGTTTTTGTGGAGATGAGATGTAGAAAGCAGCTGCTAAAACTTGCGACCCAGAAACAAGAAGTTTTCTCTGCGCACCAAACTGCGCACTTATCGTTTTGGCTTTGTTTACATTGGACAAGATGGCAGGCAATGAGACACAGCCACTGGCTGAGCCAGCGATTGCCTGAAAAATGTCACTGTACATCTACCTAGCCACTGACAAGAAAGAAATTTTATATACAAATGTAAAATTGGACGGAGAATTCAATTATATCTAGCATTACCATGTCTAGTAGTAACAGGCAAAGCCTAAAGCCAACCCTGAATACTTATCGCTATTTTCAATCAAACTGATGTAACAGAAAAACAGAGAATGTCCGGCTGTCGTAGACATGCGCTGTTAATCGGGTTCCTTCCCGCCGTTTTCAGCTTTTTATAGTGGGTAAAAATCACACCAATCGCAAAATTTCATGAGAGATTAGGACCCATCCCGAATATAAAATTTTTTTCCTGTTTTTGGCTGTTTAGATTTACAGTGACATTTTTTAGGCAATCGCATGCGGCTGAGTCTCATTGCCTGCCATCTTGTCTAATGTCAACAAAGCCGATACAGAACTGCGCAGTAGGTTGCGCAGAGAAAAACTTCTTGTTTCTGGGTCACAAGTCTTAGCGGCTGTTTCTTACATCTCATCTCCACAAAAACCTACATATCTCAGCTCAGAAATGACATACAAGGCTAAATGAGGTATTATTGGAAAGAGATTGTTTACAGCTATCTAACTGTGCTGGTTTTATTGGTGTAGAGGGCATTTTAAAAATTTGACTGAAGTAGCTACTAAATGAGGTACCGTTGGAAAGAGATTGTTTACAGCTATCTAACTGTGCTGGTTTTATTGGCATTTTAAAAATTTGGACACATTCGTAATCATTAATGATATTAGTAATGATTAAAAACACACAACTACATTCGCTACCTGTATGACAAAAGACTGAGGATATAACGATTTTGCAGTGATAAGCCAGGCTTTTGCCGAATATGGATCATTTTTTGGGAAACTTCTGGCTCTCATAACAAGCCAGTCTACATCGGATAACTCCATGTTTGTTCTTTCGGCTCAGACCTGAATGTACCTCCAATAACAAGAGAAGAGACAATAGCCACATTATTGATCTTCTTATACAGGAGATCACCGGCTGCATTTATTTTCCGACGCTCAATACTCAGGCGAAGAATAAGACGAATATTCAATCAGACGGTTACTGGTACCATCGGCATTGGAACTCCTCGCTTGCTGCTGAAGATGGGGGCTGAGAACTTATGGAAGTGTCCCGGGTGTTGTGATGTCGATTCCTAATTCAACATTCAACTCATTTCCCCTGCTTCCTTTTCCGCACTCGTCCCTAAAAAGGCTGTTGGCAAGCTGCATTGTTGCAATCTACAGCTAATATGCAATATCTGCTCCTTTCGGCCTAACATAGCAAACCCTTAATTATTTGCCTCTACGGCATACTTATTGGAGAGGGAAACAAAAAAAAAGGTGGCGTAGGACTCTACCTCCCATCAACCCACATGAGGCATAGGAACCCACACGGGGAGTTGTACTGTCTATAAACTTAAAAGGAAAATATATCTTATCGTGTGCTAAACCACTGGGCTGTAAACGGATGCAAGGCACGCTAGGTATAATCAATGTCTTTTGGAAGCAAGCGAACAGTGCGAAAGCACAAATGGATCATACGAGTCTGGCGAGAATGGAGCAGCGGAAAGTGACCAAAATAAAATTGCAAAAGATTTTTACACAAGCCGTAAAACAGTATATGCTATAAGACAGACGATAGTTGGAACATTAAGAGAACCCAGAATACCACTTTCGGATTGTCGTGCACTGAGGTATGAAGACAGCAGACGACAGGACAGACAGACATACAGACAGACAGACAGACAGACAGACAGACACAGACAGATAGATAGATAGATAGATAGATAGACAGCTTAGAAGATAGATAGATAGACAGATAGAGATAGAAGAAGAGACATAGAGATAGATAGACAGAATCAGATAGATAGATAGCATAGATAGATAGATAGATAGATAGATAGATAGACAGACAGATAGACAGACAGACAGACAGACAGGACAGACAGACAGATGATAGATAGATAGATAGATAGAAGATAGATAGATAGATAGATTAGATAGATAGATAGATAGATAGCTAGATAGATCGATAGATAGATTCAGATAGATAGATAGATAGAAGTAGATAGATAGACAGAACAGACAGCCAGACAGACCGATCAGACAGACAGACAGACAGAAGACAGACAGACAAGACAAGACAGACAGACAGACAGACAGACAGACAGACAGACATGACAGACAGACAGACAGACAGACAGAGAGAGAGATAGATAGATAGACAGACAGATCAGACAGACAGACAGATAGATAGATGATAGATAGATAGATAGATAGCATCGATTAGATAGATAGATAGATAGAATAGAGAGATAGAAGAGATAGATAGATAGATATAGATAGATAGATAGATAGATAGATAGATAGATAGATAGATAGATAGATAGATAGATAGATAGATAGATAGATAGATAGATAGATAGATAGATAGATAGATAGATAGCAGGAAGGCAGATTAAGTAAACAGGCATACGCGTAGGCGGGTGGACGATCGAACCGACTGACAAATAGATACACATATATATTACGCAGTCCCTCAGAAAGTTCTCGTTTATACACTGCCCCTATCTTCCCAACGATTAACCTTTGACCACGACCTAGTCCATTGTAAATACAGATGTGCAGTTCAGTGCGAACTTAATTTTGATATTTAAAGTTTGTATAAAAATGATCATGAAACTCATTGATGAACAAACTGGCAGTACCAAATTAGAACTTAGCAGAACTTAAACACCCAGTTAGCGGATAAAGAGACATACTGGTGAGGTAAGTATCATCCAACGGCTAGCGGGAGGTTGTAGACTATCTCTCAAATAAAAAAAAGTGCTTCACCTCTCAGGTATAAATGTGGAGCTTCCAGGAACTTGAGTCGCAGCCATCGAGTTCGTGTTTTGGGAATATAGGTGTCGACAACTTGAGCACCGGTGGGACGCAAGACGGGGGGTATGTATGCAAGCTTGTGTGAATAAAAGCTTGAGTAGTGACAATTACTGGGCGTCATTAGGACGTTACTACTGTTGTTGATGCCGCCGCTATGGCAACAATAACTACTGATGCTGCTGCTGATGCTACTACTACTACTACTACCACTATAGTTGTATCAGCTACTACTACTGTTGCTGCTGCTACTACTAGTTCTATCATTAATAATACTTATATTGCTATTGCTACTACAAATGCTGCTGATGATGCTGCTGCTGTTACTACCACTACTCCTCCTAATACTACTGTTGCTGTTCCTTTCTCTCTTTCTCCCCCCCCCCTCTCTCTCTCTCTCTTCCTCTATCTCCCTCTCTCTCTGTCTCCATCTCTCTCTCTCTCTCTGCCTCTATCTCCCTCTCTCTCTGTCTCCACCTCTCTCTTTCTTTCTTTCTCTCTCTCTCTCTCTCTCTCTCTTCCTCTATCTCCCTCTGTCTCTGTCTCCATCTCTCTCTCTCTCTCTCTCTCTCTCTCTCTATCTCTCTCTCTCTCTCTCTCTCTCTCTCTCTCTCTCTCTCTCTCTCTCTCTCTCTCTCTACTTGGGCCTGGTTAAGGCTCATCAGATTTGACTTTTACTATAAATCTACACAACGAACTTTGCTTCTGTCTTCTCCCAGGGTGTTTCGGAAACGTCACATTGTCTAGTCACTCCATAGACAACGTTATTACGACTTGTTTGGGCTTGGTTGGGGTGAGACTTCACTACAAAGTTATTGACATCTATCCTTGGCTTTGTCTCGAGAGAGGTAAACACAGATAGTGCGCAGTGTCGTGACTTATTTTGACTAATAAAACTTCCTATTCGAAACAAAGGTCGTATACCAAGCACACATATTTGCGTCTTAATAAAACGTATATTAACTTGGACGTATACCAAAGCGAAAGTATACCGATGTACTACTGTACTTCTACTCTCCGCTCACTGTAATGCATGACTGTAGTTTATTAATTATATTCAGTTGGTTTTTGTGTGTGTTTCAGTTCCACGCAGCAGTGCCGATTCGATATTAGGGCTAAATATTATATATTTGTCGTGAGTTCGCTCTCTGGCGGAGCCGGACTTTTTTCAAAATGACCTTGACTCCCAGGTCGACCCAGCCTTGAGTGGGTACCAGATGCAGTCACAGGAAGTAAAGGCGGGATACTGACCACATCACCCATCTTGTGCCGACTGGTCTATAAAAATATAGGTCTAGCCCTATATGCCTTATACGCCTAAAGGTGTGGAAATTGGACCTTTACTTACTTTTTTACTTATTATATATTTGGGAGCGGCTGGCCGAGTGGTTAAAACGTCGGGCTCTCAAGCAAGAGACCCGGGTTCGACCCTCGGTAAGGTGATGGAGTTTTCCTGTCGGGAGCAAAACTAAACATCCTAACCTGCACAGTCCGTGGCGACAGCTTTAGCCGTGCGGCCCTAATCCCTCAGACACACGACCCCCCCCCCCACCCTCTTTCCCTGTCTTCACTGCCCTAAAAAGTGGTGCACACAGGCAGCAGTGACAGTTTATGATATGTTTGGAATGTTTCATGTCTCACGCCTGCGTCTTGTGTACACCTTTTGATTCACTGAAATTTGTTTAGTCCGCTCCCAAAGTTCAACATTACTAATTTTATATACCATTTAGCCCTGCTCTCTAGCGTAGTTGGCTAAAGCCGGACTGCGCGGTGACCTGGTGACGAATTCCTTGTGGTCCGGGTTCACTCCCGGGGGTAGGCAGAAAAGCCACATTTTCTCCCAGATTTACGGTACCTATCATGGAATCAAGGCCGAAGGGTTGCGATATCCATAGTACCGAGCCAAATGGTTAACAACTCGTGGATTTTATGGATATTAAAAATATATATATATATACCATTTAATGCCCTCTTTTTTTGTTGTTGCAGGAACCAGTTAATCAATGTTTAGAGTTTTTTAGTTGTTAATTTAGTTGGTTTCCGCCGCCCCCACCCTCCCCCCCCCCCCCCCCCCCCCACCCCGACCCCCCCTCCTTCCCTATACTTATTAACAAACAAACTAACATCAGTACTGTTGTATAGGGCGGTGGGGGGGGGGGGGGGGGACGTTGCAGAACCAACCCCAGCATTTATTGACTGTTCATTATTTCTCTAGGCAATTTTAGATTCAGTGGTTTGCCACTGCTTTCTAAACGGTCGGCTCTCGATGCCACTGTCAGAAACAACGTAAGGCGGTCTGCTGTCAAACTGTCCGCAGATGTGATTGAACCGGCTACCTCAGAATTAGAAACTGTGTTTGTAACGCCTAAGCCACAAAAGCCGACTTTTGTTATTTACTATATAATACATTATTATGATGAAAATCTGCTATGTATTTCAGTACTGTGATCTGTTTACAATAACAAACCCAAGATTTCATACACTACTCAATGGCTTTGAACACTTAACAGAGCGGGCGTTCTAGATTTAGATATGTAGGATTTTATCTGATAAAGGAACTAAAGCAAAAGATGTGCGAGCGAACAACATCAGGATGCGCTTAAAACAGAGGTTCCTGCACAGACAGCCAGCTATGCTGTAGAATGTCTTTAACATTATAAGCTTCGGAAAAGAGACAATCATTAGATCATGCTCAGTGACGTCAAGATGATAGTATCTGATCAAAGCGTAGGCAGCCGACGGTGGAGAATCCTTTTGATAACTGTAGAAGATGGATGCAAAGTGAAAATAGCCTAAGGTTTATTAGGAACAGCTAGGGGATGTGCGTTCAAAGATGGAACTAGTATATTTTTGGGCTAATTCTTCATCCCCAATCGACGCACATCCAGTGCCTCGATTTTCCTATAATAGTGTTGCAGTATGAGCTCATTTGAAATTTCTTTTTTCCCCCCTTTTCTTTCTTTCTTTCTTTCTTTCTTTCTTTCTTTCTTTCTTTCTTTCTTTCTTTCTTTCTTTCTTTCTTTCTTTCTTTCTTTCTTTCTTTCTTTCTTTTTCTTTTCTTTCTTCCTTCACTTCTTCCTTTCTTTCTTTTCTTCTTAATTCCTTCTTTCTTTCTTTCTTTCTTCTTTCTTTCTTTAGTTTCTTTCTTTCTTCTTTCTTTCTTTCTTTCTTCTTCTTTCTTCTTTCTTTCTTTCTTTCCTTCTTCTTTCTTCTTCTTTTCTTTTCTTTCTTCTTCTTTCTTTCTTTCTTCTTCTTCTTTTCTTTCTTTTCTTTTCTTCTTCTTCTTCTCTTTTCTCTTCTTTCTTCTTATTCTTCATTCTTTCTTTCTTCTTTCTTTCTTTTTCTTTCTTTCTTATTCTTCTTATTCTTTCTTTTCTTTCTTTCTTTCTTATTCTTCTTCTTCTTCTTCTTCTTCTTCTTCTTCTTTCTTCTTTCTTACATCTTCTTCTTATTTCTTCTTATCTTCTTATTATTATTATTCTTCTTCGTATTTATTATTCTTTCTTTCTTCTTCTTATTCTCTTTCTCTTCTTCTTCTTCTTCATCTTCTTCTTCTTATATTCTTCTTCTTATTCTTATTCTTCTTCTTCTTCTTCTTCTTTCTTCCTTCTTATTCTTATTCTTATTCTTCTTCTTTCTTTTTATTCTTATTCTTCGTATTCTTATTCTTCTTCTTTCTTTTTCTTCTTCTTCTTTTTTTCTTCTTCTTCATTTCTTCTCTTCTTCTTCTTTCTTCTCTTCTTCTTCTTTTTTCTTCTTCTTTATTCTTATTTTCTTATTATTCTTATCTTATTATTCTTCTTATGCTTATTTTCTTCTTCTTCTTCTTCTTCTTCTTCTTCTTATTTCTCTTCTTCTTCTTCTTCTTCTTTCTTCTTCTTCTTCTTCTTCTTCTATTTTCTTCTTCTTCTTCTTCTTCTTCTTCTTCTTCTCTTCTTCTTATTCTTCGTTCTTCTTCTTCCTTCTTCTTCTTATTTCTTCTTATTCTTTTCTTCTTTTATTCTTCTTCTTCTTCTTCTTCTTCTTCTTCTTCTTCTTCTTCTTCTTCTTCTTCTTCTTTTCTTCTTCTTCTTCTTCTTCTTCTTCTTCTTTTCTTCTTCTTCTTCTTCTTCTTCTTCTTCTTCTTTCTTCTTCTTCTTCTTCTTCTTCTTCTTCTTATTCTTCTCTCTTCTTCTTCTTCTTTCTTCTTCTTCTTCTTCTTCTTCTTCATTCTTCTTCTTCTTCTTCTTCTTCTTCTTCTCTTATCTCTTCTTCTTTTTTTTCTTCTTCTTCTTCTTCTTTCTCATTCTTCTTCTTCTCTCTTTCTCTTCTCTTCTCTCTTCTTCTTCTTCTTCTTCTTCTTCTTCTTCTTCTTCTTCTTCTTCTTCTTCTTCTTCTCTTCTTCTTCTTCTTTCTTCTTCCTCCTTCCTCTTCTTCTTTTTTTCTTCTTCTTTTTCTTCTTCTTTTTTTTTTCTCCTTCTTCTTCTTCTTTTTCTTCCTCCTCCTCCTCCTTTTCTTCTTTTTCTTCTTCTTCTTCTTCTTCTTCTTCTTTTCTTCTTTCTTCTTCTTCTTCTTTCTTCTTCTTCTTCTTCTTCTTCTCCTTCTTCTTCTTCTTCTTCTTCTTCTTCTTCTTTTTCTTTTCTTCTTCTTCTTCTTCTTCTTCTTTCTTCTTTCTTCTCCTTCTCCTTCTTCTTCTTCTTTCGTTCGCTTGAAATAGATTATCTATATCAGCAATATTGTCGCTAGTATGATCTTCACTGTCTGTTGCAACAATTACAAAAACGATTGGAACAACACCTATAGTTGAATTCACTGGAGGAAAGGGGGGGGGGGGGGTAGAAACAAGGACTGAAATGGTTTGGCCATTCAGTGAGAATGAATTCAATGATGCCAGCAACCAGAGCGTACAACATGGAAGTTGAAACATCAAAAGGTAGGGAACGACCCAGAAGAAGATGTACTGAAGGAGTCATGAGATCTTAAGACTTTACAACATCACAACATTTAAGGTAACCGAGCTTGTCCTAGCTCGAATACCGATAGTCTGTTAACATGTGACGCCTAGCAGCAAAAAGTAGAAAACTGATACAAGAAACGCCACGTACTATCCCCCAAAGGCAGGAGAGTACATTGTAGTCAACCTTCATTGAGGATGTGGCACAGTATTTTTATAAATCTAGACTGTGCAAAGGCCTAAAAAATCACACCCCAATAGTAAAATCCACCACGCAACTAACTTTACCTGTATCTTGCCAGTTGAAGCTCTTCTGAAGGCAGAGGCGTTTTTAAACATTATCTTAGATTCTTAGAGGATCCCGCTCTTCTGTTTGAAGAGTTCGCATCCTTCAGATATTCTTACATACTTCTCTTTCATATGTTGCTAGAACTATTAACCTAGATTTTCTCAGTCTATGCTTTACGCGGTTCATTCCAAGACTTCTTCTTACCGTCCTTCCTTTAAAAGTCAGTTGAAAATCCCCTTACATAATATTCCTAGTATTTGTTGGCCGTTTGTAATTTTACAAAGCAATTTTAAGTTCAGTAGTTCGCCATTGCTTTCTGAACGCTCGTTTCATTGAACAAATGAAGGCAGAGACGTCTGCTGCCAAATCTACAGCTGAATCGGGTTGCTACCACACTCTACAGATGATAAATTATTCCTACCACAGTCTACAGTGGATAAATTATTGCTACCATAGTCTACAGAGGATAAATTATTGTTACCACAGTCTACAGTGGATACATTATTGCTAATACAGTCTACAGTGGATAAATTTGGTAATCTTAATCCGCCTCCAATATAAACCAGGAAATGTCAATGGAAGTAAAGACCATTGACGTGGTGTTTTAACTTGAAGGGCAAATCAGATACCGATGTTTTCGTCAATGTTCCATTATTAATCAAAGTAGATTTTATGTCCTTATTACTTTTTAAAAGCTTGTGAACCGCAACGTCCGTTCTGTCACAAATTCACTCGTAAAACTGACTTTGTCTTGGTTTTAATTTATCCACTGAAGACTGTGGTAGCAATAATGTATCAACTGTAGACTGTTGTAGCAATAATTTATCCACTATAGTTAAGAGAATGAATCCTGATATACCTGCCAAAACAGCTCTCACATGGACACCAGAAAGAAAGAGAAAACAGGGGCGCCCAAAAACAACATGGAGACGAACGATGGGAAGTGACCTGAGTGCGGCATCTTTGACATGGAAAACTGCACTGAAGATTGCACAGGACAGGAAAGCATGGAAAGTCCTCTCTGAAGCCTAATGTGCCACTAGGCATAACGAGAACTGATGATGAAATTTGATATTCAGCACACAAAAATAATATTAATATATATATGATTATTATTATTATTGTGTAATTAAACAAGACCACTGAGCCCTTCAATAATCTTCTAGTGGCCTGGGGGAAGGAAGGGGGGGGGGCACTTACGGGTTTTAGGATTTATTTAATTGCATGTCAGTCCTCCAGGCGACTTAGATGGATCCACGAGGCAACATGGAGAGAAATGACCTGCCAGCTAAGCAGACTGGCAGAAAACAATCAAATCGTTCACCAGTGGATCCCAGCTCACTGGGGCATACCAGGATATGAGTTAGCAGACAGACTTGCAAAAAAATTAAACAAAGGAGAAACAACACGCCCATTAATTGTCATTACCAGAAATCCGAACACTTCTCACTGGAAAATACAAGGAATTACGGTGAGAACAAACTAACAGTAAACATCCACAAGACCCCATCAGCAGACTCAACAGAAAGCAACATACAACAATTTTCCGTCTACAAAACAGGATACTGCAGGCTCAACTAATACATGCAGAAAATAAAGACTACAGTTCAGACTGTGTGCCTGTTATATAGGACCACAGACACTTGAGCACACTCTACCTACAATTTCTAAATGACACCTGGCCTCAAGAGCAAAGTGTGCAGAGCAAGCTATGGGCAACCATGGTAGACCGGTTACTGACATGCGAGTTCATAGAGGCAACCCACCTGATGGTCTGATCTGAACATAAGAAACGGAACGCAATGAAGAAGTTTAACTGCGCAATAATAACGAATGTGGCTTAATCCCCTCCCCCCCCCCCCCTTTTATTTTTAAATCCTTTATTTGCAACCTTTTTTCTGTGTTTGGGCGGGGTGCCTGATGATGATGTACTGTTGTTATGTCGCTTCTACTTACAAAACACAATATTTGACGCCTGAAAATTTTATTATATACTACAATAACCTTTATAATTTTTTTTTATTTATTTTAGGTGGACAGCTATAGCAGGTGTTCATGATTCCGGTCCTTAATTCGAATTGTCCAATCGCTTTCAAAACAATAGCTTCGAAACTTATTTAAAACAAGACAAAATTTAATTTTCATCATATTTATTGGAAGAAATTATGTTCCAAATGGTATATTCGCTGGAAACTCACGCTTACAACGCGGTGGCTGCAGTTCTCCCCTTGGGGAGAAATATAAGCAATTAATTCCGTTAAAAAAAAAAACAACGAAAAAAAAACAACATTCTACTCTTAATTTGATCATGGGGTCAAGAATTCAAATGATGGCAATCTTCTCAGCAGCTTCAGTTCTAGTGGTCACTGGAAACTCATCCGAAAGCTCGGATCTAAACAACACCCAGCCTGCATCATTCACAGCTGTGCCAGGTATTCCAGTCAGTGTCCAAGTCATTTCTAATATTGGAATGCCCGGAGCGTTACTGTACAATCGCAAGTCAGACTCTGTGATCAGTCTCACATACTCACTCAACTGTACGTCTTATGATACGGTCTACAGAATTCTTGCAACAACATCAGCGGAAAACGTTGCAAAAATCACGGATAATTCTTCTTTTAATATTTCCTGTATGAGTCTGAAACTTTCTAATAGTTCCTATCAGTATAAAGAAGATCATACAGTAACGATGGCTGACATGCAGGAAGATATGCATATAAACCGTGGTGTTTTGTTTCTTGGAGTTGTGAATGGACATGTAAACATGACTGTTGAAGCTGGCATGATAGGTAGGTCTTTTATGCTGCTGTTTGCTCATAAACTAAGCGGTGCAGAGCCACGAAGATTTCATTTCGGAAGCGAAATACATAAAGAGAATGCATCGTTCTTACCTGATGATTTCATGACAAACACTCCGTACACAACAGAAATCAGCGTTTCTGCAGTGACAGACGCCAGAAAGGCGGGAGCAGGAATTCCTGGATTGCCGCCAAATGTTGTTGGGAGAGCCATGATCATTGTGATGCAGCTGCCTCGGACTATCGACGAGGTGTTCCGCGTTGTTCTCTACGTGGTGATCGTTCTGGCAACAGCAGGGATGGGTGTCAAAGTGGACTTCTTTATTATCAAACACACTTTGAGGAAACCTGTTGCCCCGATCATAGGTCTTGGTTGTCAGTATATCTGCATGCCATTGGTAAGTATAACAGATATATTGTTTTGATGCGTAGGTAGATTTATTTATATGTAAAAGTAAAGGTCCCTTTCCAACCCTTTAGGCGTACAAGGCATATAGGGCTAGACCTATATTTGTATAGACCACTCGGCACAAGATGGGTAATGTGGTCAGCATCTCGCCGGCCGCCTTTACTTCCCAGACTGCACCCAGTACCAGCCCAAGGCTGGGTCGACTTGGGAGTCAAGGTCATTTTTGAAAACAGTCCGGCTCTGCCAGGGAGCGAATCCACGACCTTCCCATCCACACGCGAGCGTCTAGCCGCTAAGCCACGGCGACTCCCTTTTAATTATATCAGTTTTGGGGAATGTCTGTGACTAGTTTTTAACAATTTTAACAATTTGATACTTTTTCAATCTGATCTAATATATCTCAGTATGATATTTTTATGACATAATCTGTCTTATTACATATAATCATAATCTTTAATATGATATATTAACGATCGAATCTATCTTAATATGTTAATGTGATATAACGTTATATATCCTCATCATCAAGTGCCTGCGATTACGCCTCGCCACAACTGCGTGTAACAACTCGTGTTTTTTTCCTGTGTGGGTTCCGGGGACCCATCGTGGGGAAAACAAGAATAGACCATCTGCCTACCCAAAAGCATGTCGTAAGAGTCGACTAATTAGGGAGCTTCCTTTGAAGTCGGAGTGCATCTGCCTGAGAGGCAAGGAACCAACAGTCTGGTTCAAGTGAATCAGATCTGTTAAACTCATGCACACGCAAAACTCAGGTTCTGGAGCAGGACTGCAGTTCAGAAGTGGACGAACAACCAGAACTTTCCACCAGAGTGTACAGCTGGTGAGAGCGAAGAAGAAGAAGAAGAACTCGTGTTTTGACACACTTCAATGCCATGACAAAAGACTGTCAAGCATCTTCTTGATTGTCTTGCTCCGTCTCCCTAATTTTCCACGGCTTTTTCCAGTGGCTACAGCTTGTTCCAGTTTCCCTCTCGGTATAACATGACCCAAAAATAGAGGACTCTCTTTCTGATGTTTATCTTCTTCTTCTTCGCGGTCACCAGCTGTAAACTCTGGCGGAAAGTTCTGGTTGTTCATCCACTTTTGGACTGCAGTCCTGTTCCAAAACCTGAGTGTTGCGTGTGCATCCGTTTTACAGATCTGACTCATTCATGTGCAAACTGCTGGTTCCTTGCCTCTCCGGCAGATGCACTCCGACTTCGAAAGATGCTCCCAGTTAGTCGACTCTTACGACATGCTTTTGGGTAGGCAGTGGTTCTATACTTGTTTTCCCTATAATAGGGCCCCGGAACCCACACGGGGATCTGATGTTTATGATAAGTTGTCTTTGAGTCCCGGCCTCTTTCAAAGCGTCTTTTGGCTGTCCGAGTAATTCTAAGGATTTCAAAAACGACACCTCAGAAACCTTAAGATTGTGTTCGGCTTGTTTAATAATTATGCAGAATTCATAGCCAAAAGGTTAATTAAAACTGGCTCTAAATAGCATTCGAGAATTCTTTTCCTAACCTCCAGTGCCACAGAGTTATTACATTTAATGTTCTTCATATTATGAAATGTAGTTTTGACCTGTCCTATTCTGTTATCTTTATGCTTATGCATTTACTGAGTGTGTATGCTATTGGCTTTGCCAGACTGAGGTCTGTGTGAGTTTTTTTCCACAAGAGACATTGGTTCACATTTTGTAATGTTCTCGTTGCCACAGGAACGGAGCAATTATGGGGTGACCCGTTTGACGTGACGGTGGAACTCCGAGCACTTAATTACTTTTCGTGACTGTTCGATGTTTTCCAGCCTTCTAATTATTTTTATATTTCACCGTTTCTACAGATAGCTTATCTGGTGGCTAAAGTTGTGCCACAGGAGTCTCCGGCCATCTCACTGGGCATCTTTGCTTGTGGGATCGTCCCCGGGGGCGGACAGAGCAACATGTTTGCCTACCTATTGGGCGGTGACTTGTCCTTGTCAGCCACGATGACAACGCTAAGTAATATCGCTTCACTGGGTAAGTATCATCATCATCATCATCACCAAAAGATGCACAAAAGAAACCCTAAGAGGAAAGTTAATAAGAGAGGCCAAAACTGTTGAACAATATTCCGTTTATGATATGGAACTGATCGCACAAGACAGAACGGAAGGAAGGAATAGACTGCGAGCCTTGTGTGACATCTAATGGCACAATAGGAAAATGAACAAATATTTGCCATCTACCACGATAAAATTTGTGGCTTAGGCGTTGCGAACAATCTTCGTAATACCGAAGTGTCTGGTTCAATCCCAGGGGTTTGTCTTGCCTAGAACTGACATTTGTCTAGAAAACCCACAGCAGCCCCCCACCCCACTTCCAAAAAAGCACTGCTGAGGTTGGTTCTGCAACGTCCTGTAAAGGATATGCAACTAACTTTTAACCACAATAAGGTTCAGGCCAATGACTTTGTCGCGCGCCATCCATTCAGTCAAGTTGTCCATTTATTTATCTATATGCCATTCCCGCGGTATTTTTCCACCACTCATGCCAGTTGTCATCAAGTTATCAAACCCACTCCTAAAAACTTGTTAGCAAGACTGACGACCACGACGACGTCTAATTTCTCTAACCAGTTTACGACTTTTATCTCGCCTCACCCGCCCCACATCATTTTATGATATTCTGTGCATTGCTCTAAAAAAGCACATCAAACGGATCATCACAGTCTGGTGAGAGTGATGCAGCAAGGAGTGACTAGGGTATCTGGCCGATACTCGACGCTCAGAGGAAAGGCCAGACGGATGTATGATCAGAATGCTTCTGGCACCACTGGTATTGGAACTCTGCGCTGGCTGCTGAAGATGAAGACGGAGCGCTTATGGGAATTTTCTGAGTGCTGGGATGTCGGTTCTTTAATCAATTTAACTCAACTCATTGTCCACGTCTCATGTGCATATAATAAGACAGTTATTTCTGATGCTTTATTAATATCCTACACTAAACAGGGGAAATCCTCACGTCACGTGACAGTCTAATATTTCAGGAGGTGGTAGATAGGGACTATGTCGTCAAAGGTTCCAGATTCTGAATTGTGATCCTACTGTTGCCAGATATTTTTCATGTTCAGAACTTGTAAACTATGTACATTTTTCAGTTTCTGTCTCGGTGGCTGGTTATCCAGAAGGATACACCTCTTACAGAACGAAACGTTAGGCGCTTTATTTATATCTTACCCCAAACAGGGGAAATCCACAGGTCACGGGACAGTGAAGTATTTCAGGGGGTGGTAGATAGGCTGCATGCAGTGGTGGGACTTGGGCTTCATGCAGTCGTGGGACCTAGCTGCACTCTCTCGTGGGACCTAGGTGGGTTGTGGTTAGGGTCAGTTCTAGATGTTTTGTGGTCGTTAAAAGCATCTGCAAGCCGGGAAACTCAGCCTAACCACCATCTTAAATGTTTGACTGTCCGGTGACGTCATCTTTGATAGGATATTACAAAAGAACCCTTTTTCTTCCTACAGTTGCCATCTTTTTATTAGTGAGTAACTTTTACAACTTGCTATAGTGTCTGGTGTCAGACGACTTGACTGTTCAATGATACGTGTATATGGATTCACTTTCTAAGAATGACGCCATTTGCAAGGATTTCTCACTGTGGTATTTAGGTTGTCATGGTGATGACCATCATTTCTGTTTACTTTCAGTTTAACTCTAAACCTAGTTGCTTTGATAATATCCACTAAATGTCGCATATCTGGTTCACTTACTATGTCATCATCATCCAGTGCCTTGCCGACTGGCGTGGGCGATCATGCCTCTCCATAATCTGCGATCTCCTGCAGCATGTATCGGTTCGTGTGTGCCATGCAACAAGACTGTCAAGCATCTTCTCTCGTTGTCTTCCTCTATCCCTCCTTCCACAGATCTTCCCAGTGGTCACAACATGTACTATTTTCCCTCTTCTCATAACATGGCCGAAAAATGATGACTGCCTCCTTCTAATGTCTGTGATAAGTTGTCTTCGGGCTCCCGCCTCTTTCAAAACCTCTTGGTTACTTACTAGGTACGTTAGTCAAATTGTCTGAATTATTTTTAATAATGTAACCATCATAGTTGGATAGGTATTGACAAACGCAATCCAGTGATACCTCGTTTAAGTGTGTAGGTCAGACTCAGCCTAAAGTTCAGAGTAGAACGGAGCTCTTATGGGTTACACCCTTGTGCCTTAATGTTGATCCGTTGAATAAACTTAAACATAAAATGGCTGCTCATTATACCATTAGAGACAGACAATAAATATGTATTAACTGTACTCACCATTGCTTCGTAATGCCGGGGTGCCGGGTTCGATTCCAGCTGCGGGTCTTGCGCCTTGCGTTGGTTTAGAAGGTAGTATCGAGAAGCCGACTGTCTAGAAAGCAATGACAAACTAATGGACGTAAATTTGCGTAGAAAATCCACAACAGTCAAAATTTGCTGGGATTGGTTCTGTAATGTCCTGTAAAGGTTACGCAACTAACATTTAACTCACCATTGACATAACAGCTGAGTTGAGTCAAAAATTGACATCACAGCACTCTGAACCTTTTCTTCATCATCCCCGCCAGATCCATAATGCTCCAGTAGGCCGTGTTCTGCAGCAAGAGCTCCATTCTAACGTTGTGCGTATCAGCTGCAGTCTGAGGATGTTGGCTCCTTTATTCCGAGTCGGCCAGATCCCTAGGTCATTCCTGGTTGCACCATTTTCTCTCTTTCCCAACACATTCGCATATCCTAGAAAAAAGATCCAAAAGATGCTAACTACCCGGGACCTCTGAAGTTATTTTTTGCGACTGTGCATGGCATATTTTTCTCTACCTTTCTGGAGATTTTTTGACGAGTCTGTTATGATAACGATTGTGGGTGCAGCGGAAAGCTGCAGTGACTGCCTCCACCTCCATTCTCAAAGAAGATGTGACATGATATGCCAGGATTTGTTGCACTAATAATCGGTGTTTTTCTTTTTGGCTTTTGCTAAGATGCTTGTTACTTGTTGTCCAAATCGACCACCTAGCCATTCGGTCCGACCACTTCGTGCTCCGTCTTCAGTGTCTCGCTGCTCAAAGTACACAGTAGGAGTTGGTTTGCTTATTTCTTTCTTAGGGTTGCAACCTGTTTCTGCACGCTTGTCACCACTTAATAGCCATTTCCAAGACGCCGTTCATTGTCTTTGATTCCCTCGTCTCCAAGTTGAGCCTACTTATTTTTCCATTAATTACTGCAGGCACAGCCAATTTGCCAGCTCTTTTATTTCTTCTCACCCCTGCGTCTCCTGTGTGCACTAAGATAGTTTCATTGTTTGCTTTCAATCGGTGTCGATTGTTTTATTTACCGCAATCAAGCAAAATGAAAACTAAACGTTTGTTTTCATAATTCTTTTTACAAAGAAATTATTATTAACAAGTGGCGTGACAAATTTACGGCAAGCGGTTACTGACTTTCTGATTTTACAAGTTGGCCACGATTACTGGAACGTACTATAGAAGCTAAAGAAGCGTCTGGAAAGAAACAGTAAATAGTTCCCCTTTCCAGCATCCCAACCGGCAAACCTGTCAAGCATTATCAGCAACAACCGTGTTTGCTCACATTTTTCATTGTTTTTTTTTTTTTTATCGTTTTAACCGTTTTACAAGCAGTTCTACTAAGCACAGAGATAGTTCCTATTGACTGTTGATGTTTTATCTGCAGGACTGCTGCCCATGTGGATTTTTACCCTGGGAGAAACGTTCAAGGACGACACCGTCAAACTGCACGTACCCTTTGAGAAGATTCTAGAAGCCCTCGCAATTGCGATTCTCCCTTTATTTGTTGGAATGTTCATTAGGTATAAGGTCAGTCATTAACTCTTTCAAAACCTGACGATTTAGTTAGAAACGCCTGTGGCGTTGGTATCCACAATGAAAGAGCGTGGATCTGTAACTTACAAATCTTACAAAAGAGGCAGCATTTACAGATCTACATGTGGCAATATCTGGCCAGGTTTCTTTACTGTGCTCAGTCAAAACGTAAAGCTATACAATAACACACCATACTTCAAATAAGACATAAGCTGAACAGACAGGTACTTGGCTTGGAAAAGAAAACGTTACTGTTACATAACTAATATAATTGTCCTGTCCCTCTTCTTGTTCTATTTATTTCCCAGCGGAGCACACACTCCCAATTACCTGAAGCCAAGCTGTCTGTCTGTTTGCAGTCTCCCTCAAATCCCCACATCGTCACCTTGTATTCTTCATTTCTACCTCTCTTCTTCGTGTGTTTTAGCGTATTCCTCTATCCGTTTTACCAAGGGGTTTCTAGATAGTAAAATTTCAAGTTATACTATTAATAAAGTGATTATACATCCCGTTTTCTAGAAATAAGCTCGAGAATAGAACACACGCGTATTGTTGTTACATATGTAGACCTGATTCGATTTCATAGTTTAAGATATTTGTAATGAGTAAAATGAGAATTTCCATTGAAGCATATTTTTTTTTCCATAACGTTTAATAAGCATATTGGGTTTTCTTTGTTTAGGGCGGGGAGGGGGGGGGTGTAAACTAATTCGCTTAGGATGTTCTGCTTTCAGCTCAAGATATTATAGTCACCCGAACTATTACCCTCTTTAGTACATGGCAAAACAGTGAGTTGCAAGCTTTGTCCCTCGAATTTCTATCCAAAAATGTGTTATTCTGCTTCCCCCCCCCCCCCACCCCTCCAAATATTTGGGCATTTAATTATATAGTTGACTGAGCATCTTCGCTTCATATCAAACCATATACGGACACGGGTGAGGAATATTGTCTGGATTTGTTCACCGGGATACGCATGTGTATTGGGTAATGAACAGATGGACAAACTAGCTAGCTCTGCACAACTTGGTGGAATACTGATACATGATAAGGCAGACATGGTTAGTGCCTTGTGGGAGAACGTGTACAGTTCGGAGGAGCAGACGGATCACCACAGTCTGGTGAGATTGATGCAGCGGGGAGTGACGAGAGGTTCTGGCAGATGCTAGAGGCTCAGAGGAAAGGCAAGACGGACGTTTAATCAGAATACTTCTGGTACCATTAGTATCGAAACTCTTCACTGGCCGCTAAAGATGGAGACGGAGCGCTTATGGGAATGCCCCGAGTACCGTCAAATCAGTTCTTGAATCAACTTAACGCATATCTAACCAGACGTGCACGGAGTCCCTCCCTACTCAGTATATCCCTTCCGCTAATGCGGCTAACGATATCAGTTTTATGTTGCTTGCGCAGTGCTCCTGTCTAGGCGCACTTCATTTGACCTGCTTTTTTTTTTTCAGTCTGATCAGTCACACGGCAACAGATTCAGTCATCACTTGATTCGCCCAAACGGCTTTATCATCATCATCATGTAGCAGGTCATTTGAAGAAGGTCGCTCTTATCACAGTCTGCCTGAAATAAACTCGGTCTCTAGCCAGCTCTCCCGACTCGTGCACTTTCATATTCAAGGAGTGACTTTCCATTATAGGTTTCTTGGGATAATGATGTGGTCTTACTTCTCCTATATTCAGTATATCGTCCTGGTCCTTGGATCGTCCGCCCTTCACAACAACCCATGACCATCGTTAGCAAGCACATCAGCTTGTTCTTCTTCTTCTTGTCTTCCACCTTGTACCTCAGCGAAGTGTAGGGGAGATGTAACATTCGTTGATAAGCTCTGTCAAAAGCACTATTAAGATTGATGTTCATTTCTGTAAGATTGTTCTTAATGCCATCACTCCATGGTTTCCGAGGTCTTCCGCTCTCTCTATACCCGTTGTAGCGTTTTAGTGTGGCTCGCTGGGGCAGATAGTACCAGGGCATTCTTGTTAGGTGCCCAAACCGCTTCATTTGTTGTTCTTTGATGACTTGTAAGACTGACTTTATTCCTAGCATTCGTATGATTTCGTGATTTCGTATTCTGTCTTTCCTTGAAACTCCTGCATCTCTGTTGTCACAATTTTAAGTTTATTAGAGGATGTAAGTGTCCACGTATGGCACTAATAGCATAGTGTTAAACAAAAAATAGTTCTGATAATACATATCGTAACACACGTAAAGTATGGGTAGTACTTGTACTTTTTTACCTACAGTATGGGGAGTCTCAGTGCGTTTTACGTACATAATGGGGAGTATCAGCACGTTTTATGTACAGAATGGGGAGTATCAGTACGTTTTATGTACAGAATGGGGAGTATCAGTACGTTTTAGGTACAGTATGGGGAGCACCAGTACCTTTTTACGTACAATATGGGGAGTATCAGAACATTGTACATACAGTATGGAGAGTATCACTACCTTTTTTACGTACAGTGTTGGGAGTATCAGTAAGTTTTACGTGCAGTATGGGGAGTATCAGTATGTTTTACGCATAGTATGGGTAGTACCTGTACTTTTTACGTACAGTATGGGAAATATCAGCACATTTTACGTAAAGTCTGGGGAGTATCAGTACATTTTATGTACAGTATGGGGAGTACCAGTACTTTTTTACGTACAGTATGGGGGGTATCAGTACGTTTTACGTACAGTGGGGGGAGTACAAGTACCTTTTTATGTACAGTATGGGGAGTATCAGCATGTTTTACTCACAGTATGGGGAGTATCAGTGCGTTGTACGTACAGTATAGGGAGTATCAGTATGTTTTACACACAGTATGGGTAGTATCAGTACGTTTTACGTACAGTATGAGGAGTACCAGTACCTTTTTACGTACAATATGGGGAGTATCAGTACATTGTACGTACATTATAGGGAGTATCAGTACGTTTTACGTGCAGTATTGGTAGTATCAGTACATTTTACGTACAGTTTGGGGAGTACCAGTACCTTTTTATATACAGTATGGGAGTATCAGTACATTGTACGTACAGTATGGGGAGTATCAGTACATTTTAAGTACAGTATGCGTAGTACCTGTACCTTTTCACGTACAGTATAGGGAGTATCAGTACGTTTTACGTACAGTATGGGGAGTACCAGTACCTTTTTATATACAGTATAGGAGTATCAGTACATTGTACGTACAGTATGGGGAGTATCAGTACATTTTAAGTACAGCATACGTAGTACCTGTACCTTTTCACTTACAGTATAGGGAGTATCAGTATGTTTTACGTACAGTATGGGTAGTATCAGTACATTTTACGTACAGTATGGGTAATACCTGTACCTTTTCAAGTACAGTATAGGGAGTATCAGTATGTTTTACGTACAGTATAGGGAGTACTGTACCTTTTTACGTACAGTATGGGAAGTACCAGCACCAAATTTCTTTTCAAGGTTGAAAAAACAGATAAACTTTGGTAAATACCTTTTTTTTTGGGGGGGGGGGGGGGGGGGGGGTAATGTTTAAACACATTTTTTTCCTTTGCTTAAATGCCTGCTCTATTTAATGGACAATGTAATTTTTTTTTTTTTACCTTCCAACATCAGTTTCCAAAGGTGGCTAACATTATTGGCAAAGTTTTGAAACCAGTTCTTATCGTGATCGTGGCATTCATCATCTCCTTTGGCATCTACATCAACATCTACATATTTGAGATGATTCGACCGATGACGATCGTAGCTGGGTGCCTTCTTCCCTACATCGGTTACATCCTGGGAGGATTCATCGCTTTCCTGTGTTGCCGGACCTGGACGGAAATCAAGACTATTGCCATTGAGACCGGAATTCAGGTACACGAATAATTCTAGGCACATATATAAAGTAATTGACCTTTTCCATGCCTCCAGACGTAGTGGGCACATAGGGCTAGGCTTACATTTTATAAACCTATCGGCATTCAGTGGGTGATGTGCTCAACACCACACTGGCCGCCTTTGCTTCCCAGGACTATGCCTAATACCCATTATATGCTGAGTCGACCTGGAAGCCATAGTTATTTTTTTAACAAATCTGGTTCGTCAAGGATTTGAACCTACAACCTACGAGCCTGAGGCGAGAGTCTAGCTATGGCGCTGCCCTCAGCAAATGCATATATATATATATATATATTATATATATATATATATAATATATATATATATGATATATGATATACATATATATATAGATAGCATAGTAGATAGATAGATAATAGATAGATAGATGATGATAGATAGAGATAGATAGATAGATAGATAGATAATAGATAGATGATAGATAGATAGATACATAGATAGATAGATAGATAGATAGAGAGATAGATAGATAGATAGATAGATAGATAATAGATGATGATAGATAGATAGCCGATAGATAGATAGGATAGATAGATAATCATGGATGATGGATGGATGTGGATGGATGGATGGATGATGGGCGGGCGGGCGGGCGGTTTGATACGGGCGGACGATGTGACGGACGGCATGGACGGACGGACACGGAATCATAGACGGATACACGGACGGACGGACGGACGGACGGACGGACGGACGGACGGACGTAATCATGAGATTGATACAGACAGAAAGACAGACAGACAGACAGATGACAGACAAGACAGACAGACAGACAGACAGAATAGACAGACAGGACAGACAGACAGATAGCATAGATAGATAGATAGATAGATAGATAGATAGATAGATAGATAGATAGATAGATAGAGATAGATAGATATGATAGATAGATAGATAGATAGATAGATAGATAGATAGATAGATAGATAGATAGATAGATAATAGATAGATAGATAGATAGATAGATAGATAGATAGATAGATAGATAGATAGATAGATAGATAGATAGATAGATAGATATCATAGAATAGATAGATAGCCTCATATGATAGATAGATAGATAGATAGATAGCTAGATAGATAGATCATGATAGATAGATAGATAGATAAATAGATAGATAGATAGAATAGATAGATAGATAGATAGTAATTATGCCTTATCGACAAAATGAGATTGCCGTCATGATGAGTTTACTATACACAATAATCATGTTTGATACAAGCTGTACATGTGCCGTCAGCATGAAGGTATACAAGTAATCATGTTTGATACAAGCTGTACATGTGCCGTCAGCATGAAGGTATACAAGTAATCATGTTTGATACCAGCTGTACATGAGCCGTGAGCATGAAGGTATACAAGTAATCATGTTTGATACAAGCTGTACATGTGCCGTCAGCATGAAGGTATACAAGTAATCATGTTTGATACAAGCTGTACATGTGCCGTCAGCATAAAGGTATGAACGTAATCTACCCATTTTTTTATAAACTGTAACTAGTGTTTACCCATTGAAACATCATCATCTGTTCTATAAGCGTTTATCCCCCCGGGCTGCTTCCTGATTTTCTTTTACACAGATCGTATATAAAACCAAAAGGGTAAATCCCAGATACCCCGTTAAAACTACAATGAAGATGTAAATCAGGGACATGTAATGCTCGTACCCATACAATCTCAAACACTAAACTACTTCAAGTCACAAACCAAGCAATTCTAGATACGTTATGAGAATGAATAAGATGAATATGGCCAAGCCATGACAATAAATCCTCACGTGGAGATACAGCTCTAATGTGGAAAAATAGGCGTCCAAAAACAACATGGAGACGAACGATGGAAAGTGAACTAAGTTCTGCATCTCTGACACGAAAAACTGCACCTAAGATTGCACAGGACAGGAAGGCATGGTAAGTCCTTTCTGAAGCCTCATGTGTCACTAGGCATAAAGAGAATTGATGATGATGATGAATGTTTGCACCAGTCTGGACTAGCCTGCAGTACCGTGCTGACAGGGACTGTACCGTGCTGACAGGGATTGTACCGTGCTGACAAGGATTGTACCGTGCTGACAGGGGTTGTACTGTGCTGACAGGTACTGTACCGTGCTAACAGGTATTGTACCGTGCTGACAGGGACTTACCGTGCTGACAGGGATTGTACCGTGCTGACAAGGATTGTACCGTGCTGAAAGGGATCGTTGAGTATCGTCGTCATTATAACAATCAAGAAAAAGTGCTAGGGATCCATCCCACCGAAACCGCTATCACCTCCCTGTGTGGGTTCCAGGATCCCATTGTGGTTGTGATGGGGAGGGGGGAGGGGGTGTAGACCTACTGCCTCCCCGACAAGCACGTAGTAAGATTCCACTATTTAGGGGTTTCCCTCAGAGTCGATGTGCATCTGCGTGAGAGACAAAAAACCAACAGCATGCATATAAATAAATCAAGACTGTTAAACTGACGTGCACGCAAAACGGAAGTTCTGGAACAAGGCTGCATTCTTGAAATGGCTTAACAACCAGAACTTTACGCCGGAGTTTAAAGACTAAAAAATAGCCTAATGTTTCGTAACTTATTTCCTCCATTTTTCTTCAACAGAATTCAACGATAGCGTTCATGATCCTCTACTTATCACTACCCCCGCCAGACAACCAACTTGCCACAGTAGGACCTGCAGCCTCTGCCATCATGACTCCTTTGCCTCCTCTTCGTGGCAGTGTTTTTGTACATACTCTACCAGCGTTACTTTAACAAACGCAAGTCCAAGGGAGACCATCAAGGCGAAGAGAAACTTGAAAATGGACCTACCAAGAAAGACGACAAGGCATTAAAGAAAGCAATTCTACGTGGAGATGAAACTGCGGCAATCGTTTTGCTCTGGCAAAAGCTAACAGGGCGTGAAGCAAAAACAGATGTTTTCGAGGATATGTTGAATAAAGAACTTGAAATTATGGCCCCTGATACGGACAGCATAGATTTGCAAAACCCGTCCTAGAATGACAGGGATAGTTATCGTGCTGACTTAATTGTATGGAAGTGTACCGTGCTTGAATTAATTGTACAGTCGGTACTTTTTCGATGAATACCGTGCATCAGAGGATTGTACTCTACAGCACCACGGTGGTCTATGCTCGAAGCATTGTAAGAGCACGAAGCAGGGACTGTATTTCCCCCTGAAACCCTGAAGTGGTAAAGATGATTGTACGTAAAGAAACAGAAGATTGTTGTTTTTCTGTCGTCTATGAGAAGGAATCAATTCGAACAAGTTTGCTAGGCCCGCCTGGCGAGATTGATTTGAAAGTGAGCTAGGAGAAGGCAAGAGATAAATAACTGTGACGTTCTAGAATGTATTGTGGTGGTGATTGGGGAAGCGGTGTAGACCCACTGCCTCAACAACAATGACGTAGTGAGATGTCGAAACTAATAGGAGTTTCCTTTTGTAGTCGGTGTGCTTCTGCTGTGCAGAGGCACATGATGATGATCATGCACGACG